CCCAAGAGGCCCCAGACACCCACCAGACGCCCGAAGACGACCCAAACAAGACCCTCAAGAGGCTTCCAAAACGCAGAAAAGTATAGATGTTCCTAGGTTTTTGCATGATTTTGGAAATGCCATGTTCTTCGGTGTTCTGGGCGTCCGAGACTGCCTGGAAGACTCGAAAATCGCTCCAAAACCATCCGAAAGGGCTTCCAGGCAATTCAAGAGAGCCCCAAGACGGCACAACAAGGTTCCAAGATGGCCCACGAGAGCCCGATGACGGCCCCAAATGGGCCCAAAAACACCCTCCGAAGCATTCCAAACCGTGACCTGGTCGCTCAGGGAGACCGCGGGTTGAGAGGCAGGGTGGCCCGAGGAAGCCCCCGGAGGCCTCCAAAAAACGCACAGGAGGCCTCCAGAAACCTGAAAAAAATCCGTGAGGCCCCCAGAGGCTCTCCAAGGAGGAGCCTCCGCAAAAAAAGCTGAGGATAGGGAAGAATTCGCAGGGTAGGGCGAGAATGAGGAACAACAACGGAGGAAAGATAACAAATCACATTATTATAACGGTGATGCTGGAAAAGGCAACAAACAAATATTGCTAAATTGTATGGTGTACCGTCCTGCCACTCCGCCTGCGTGCCAAACTTCAAGGACCAAGGGGCATGGCGCGAAACGTCAATGGAGTCTTACATATGTGTATATGTTTATGTAAACACATAAATGTATACATAGGTGTGTACATACATCTATATATATATACATATATATGTATATATATAAGAGAGAGAGAGAGAGAGTGTGAGAGAAAGAGAAAGAGAGAGAGAGAGAGAACATAACAAACAAAACAAACACAAAAAAAGATAACTAACAAAAACACGAAACGCGTTTCGTGGATGCTTGCCTCGAAAAACCTTGACAAGATGAAGCCGGGGGGCGGAGGCAGCAGAAACATTGAGCGCCTCTGGAAAACCAGTCCCCCCACCTCCGGACACTTGCCCCCCGAACCCCTGGACCTCGCCCCCCCGTCCACGGGGCGGGGGGGGCTCGAACCAGGGGGGTCACCCCTTGTCCAAGGGGGGCGGGGGGTTCGAACCCAGAGGGCCTCCCGCCCTCCGAGTTGCAAGGGGGGGGGTTCGAACCCGCCTCCCCACCCCATGTCCACGGGCGGAGGGGCCTGTCCAGGGGGGGAGGTGTGGCTTCGAACCGGCCCCCTCGCCTCGAGCTGTACGGGGAAGGGGTTCGAATTTGCCCCGCTACAACCGACGACAGCGAGAGCAGGCAACAGCACTGGCGCCTTTGGGGAGCGACGACGACGACGGCGACGACGACGCCGACGACGACGACGACAGCGACGACGACGCCGAAGACGACGACGACGGTGACGACGACGACGACGACGACGACGACGACGACGACGACGACGACGGCGACACCGACACCGACAACAACGCCAACGCCGACGACGAAGAAGACAACGACGACAACGACGACAACGACGACGTCGACGACGCCGACGACGTCGACGATGCCGACGACGGTGACGACGACGCCAACGACGACGATCGATCTTTCCCCTCGTTCGCTCGCTCGCTTGCTCGAGCGAGCGAACGGACAAGCGAGCACGCGAACACCACTTATTGAATGCCCCGCCTGCCCGACCCGAGCCGCCCTCCTCGCTCGCTCGCTTGCTCGAGCGAGCGAGGGACCGAGAGACCACGCGAACACTATGCCACGCATTGAATGTCCGGCCCGACCGGACCCGCCAGACTCGCTCGCTCGCCCATTTACTCGAGCGAGCGAGCGAGCGAGCACCGTGCATGTAATGCCCCGCCCGCTCGAACCGACCCTCATTTGCTTCAGCGAGCAAGCAAGCGAGCAGCATGCATGCGAAGTCCCCCCCGACCCGCCCCGCCTGGTCCGTTCGCTCGCATCCTGGTTCCAGCTAGCGAGCGAGCAAGTGACCACCATGCATTTCATGTCCCGCCCGCCGACCCGACCCGCCCGACTCTCTCGCCCGCTTGCTCGAGCGAACGAGCGAGAAAGCTTGCTCGAATGATTGCTCCAGCGAGCGAGCGAGAAAGCGAACACCCGTCGCCGTCGCCGTCGCCGTCGTCTTCGCCGATGTCGTCGTAGTCGTTTTCAGCGTCGTCGGAGTCGCCGTCACCGTCACCGTCTCCGTCACCGTCGTCGTCGTCGTCGTCGTCGTCGTCGTCGTCGTCCAGAGGGGACCCATCAACATGTTACTAGAACCACGCGCGCGCTTCGCGCGCGCTTAGGTTCTAGCTAGGATCGTCACCGTCGTCATCATGAACATCACCATCGCCATCATTCCCCCCGCCAGGGCTAATGTACATCGTTTCTGGATGCTTCTGGCCGGAATACGAAAGGAGTTTCTGTAGTTAGAGTCTCTGGGGGAAGTCGCGGGGCCCCTCAGGATACGTACGGATGCCTCTGATAATCCCCCAGCGTGCCCCACGAGATGGCCAGAGGGTGCCCGAACAGAACCCGAGGACGTCGACGACGGCGGCGATGAAGACGGCGGCGATCGCGGCGACGAAGGTAGCGGCGGTTGCCATGGGTTAGTACCCAATCAGAGCTTGCCTCTGTAAGGGTCCTGGCGGATTAAAAGGTTCGATGAGGTTCGGCAAGATTCCGGCCCCATGCGGCCGGGCCGGGTGCCCGGGTGCCCGGGTGCCCGGGTGCCCGGTGCCTGGGTGCCTGGGTGCCCGGTGCCCGGGTGCCGGGGTGCCTGGGGGTGCCCTATCGCCCTATAGCCCTGTAGCCCCATAGCCGTGTATCCCTATAGGACTATAGCCCAATAGCCCTATATCCCTATATCCTTCCAGCCCTTTAGCTCTATAGCCCTCTGATCCTATAGCCCTGTAGCCCTATAGCCCCATAGCTCAACAGCCCAACAACCCTATAGCCCAATAGCCGAATAGCCCACATAGCCCTATAGCCCTATGGCCCTAGTCCTATAGCCCTATAGCCCTACAGCCCTATAGCCCTGTAGCCCAATAGCCCTGTAGCCCAAGTCGTTTTCATCCTGAGTCGTTTTCTGACGGTCCCGGGAACCTGCGAGGGGCCCCGGAGGCCGAAAATTAACAAAAACCGCCGTCGTGATTTTTCCAAGACGTCGGAGGTCCAGGTCGTGCTTCCCGCCTCCCCAGACCTCCGACGTCGTAATTTTTGCGACCTCGGGCCCAGGAATCGATTGGGAAAACGCACATGGGAAGGCAAGAAATGATGGACCCATCATTTCGTACCTGTGCCTTGATCAGTGGGACGGGCTTCGCACCGCCGCACATCACAAGACACGCTCGAGCGGATCCAGCCGTGGCGACGTCGGGGACTGCAGAAGGTCGCAAGGACACAGAATGTGAAAGGAAGAGAGAGAAAGAGAGAAAGAGAGGGAGAGAGAGACAGACAGACAGAGAGCGAAGGAGAGAGAGAGAGAGAGAAGAGAGATGGAGAGAGAGAGAGAGAGAGAAACAACAAAAAAAAACAGAGAGAGAGAGAGAGAGGCAGAGAGAGGAAATGGAGAGGAGGCGAGCTTGAGTCAACGAAAGTCGCAGGGAAGGGGGCAGGGGGAAGAAGGCCAGAGAGCGCTGAAGGATACAAATACTGGAACCCTCTTGGGATTTTTTGGGGGGCCTCGTCCGGCCGCTCGCTGGGAGTTTGACGTAGCTTCTCGGGAGCCTCTGAACCTGTCGGAGGCCTCCTGGAAGCAGGTTCGAAGCATTTTGGGGGCCGATTTGGGGCTTCTCGGGGCCTCCTTTGGGCCTCTTGGGGGTCTCCTGGGACCTCTTGAGGGGCCTCCTTGGGGCCTCCTGGCGGCCTCTTGGGGCGGAAGGCTCGAGCTTGCGGTTCGTGGTCCCCCTCTGGGCCCCCTCTTGGGCCCGTCTTGGGGCCCTCTTGGGCCATCTTGGGCGCCTCTTGGGCCGTCTTGGGGCCCTCTTGGGCTGTCCTGGGGCCCTCTTGGAAGCTTCTTGGGCCGTCTTGGGGCGGTCTTGGGCGCCTCTTGGGCCGTCCTGTAACGTCGGAAAGCCCAAAAGGCAACTTTGTGAAAAATGTACGTTTTACGAGGGGAATGGGCAATTTTTGTTGCGTCTAGGGGCCCTCTTGGGGCGCATGTTGGAGGCTTCTTGGGGCGTCTTGGGGGCGTCCTTGGACGTCTTGAGGCCATCTTCAGCATCTTGGAGCCCTCTTGGAGGCCTCTTGGAAGTTGCTTGGGCCGTCTTGGGCGCTTCTTGGGCCGTCTTGTCTGACCGGGGAGGCCTCCGGCAAGCCCCGACGAGCCTCCGGGCCCCCCGGAGCCCACATTTGTGGTCGGGGTCCCGGCCCCGGGCCCCCGGACCCGGTGCGCCGTTATATGTATACTGTTGAGGAAACGCCAGGCTTTCCGACAAAAGCGAATGAGAAACACGCTGACGGGCTCGCAACGGCGGCGTGTCATTGGCCCTCTTTTTCCAGCCAAGGGCGGCGTGAAGGAGGCAAGCAAGCACGAAGGCGGTGAGGAGATGCCTTCTGCCGACGTCCGTGTGCATCCGCGAGCGCCCCCCCCGCGGCTGCGGGGCGCCCCCTGACATCAGCCGGACAATATGATTTCCAACCCGCTGCCCCAAAGGCCCAAACCCCTTCCCCATGGCAAGGTTTTTGCTCCAAATGTGTGTTTGATAGTCTTGGGGCCCAGAAGCTGGCCCGAGGCGCCGAAATGTATCAAAAACGCCCGGACGGAAAACTCAAAACAACAGAGATCTTGGCTCCCCCCCGGGTGGTTCTCTCGGGTCGGGCGAAAGGGGGGGATAGCAAAGGGGGGGGTTGAGAATCAGCTCACGTAGCTGATTTTCCCGGCGCCTCCCGGCGCCGGAGGCGCCCATGTATCGAGAAATGGGCCCCTCGGTGAGGCCGAAATCAGCTGCATGCAGCCGATTTCGTCCGGCCCAATCCACCCCTTTCGCCCGGCCCGATTCTCGGGCCCAAGCTCCAGCCTCCGCCGTCCCATCGGGGCGATCTGGGCACCCCCAATACACGCTCTCGACGAGGCGAGGCCCGCCGAGAGGCGCCCCGAGGCTGGAGAAAACCTCCGGCAAAACCGCCGAAAATCCCTGCAGACCTCCGGAAACCGCCGCGAAAACCACTGGAACCTCCAGAACCTCCAGAACCTCCAAAACCACCGGAACCTCCAGAACCTTCAGAAACCTCCGGCGCCGCCGAAAATCCCGCAAACCTCCAGAACCTGTGGCACCCGCCGAAGGCGTCCACAAACCTTCTGGGACCGACGGACAAAAAATCACATCGTCGGCAGTCGGCGCCTCCCCCCGCGCCAGCGTTCGAGCGCGCGCTGGAGGGCCGCGATGGCACGACGTCGGCCTCGCCGCCCGGGCCCGGCTCGGCGCCCGCGCGGGCGTCAGCAGGGTTCGGGGCCGCCTCTCGCAGGACGAAAAATAAATAGGTATGCCAATACTACGTAAGGATATATCATTATCGTTGTGTGTATGTGCATGCGTGAATACGTACGTACGCATGTGAGCACGTACGTATATTTGTTTGCATGGATGTGTGTCTATACGTGTACGAACACATGTATGTATGTACAAACACATATATATATATATATATATATATATATATGTATCTGCATGTCTGTCTATACACAAATATACATATATATATGCATGTATGTGTGTGGGCATATGTACTACGTCAATAGAACCGTTCGCGCGTTACGCGCGCGCCTCGGTTCTAGCCAACTCGGAAGACCTCGTCCTCATCTTCACCATTATCAGTCTCATCCATTCCCATGGCACACGTGTAATTCGGAGAGCCACGGACGCGGGAATTGGGTCGTCAGCGTCGACGGCGCCGTCGGCGTCGGCGTCGGCGCCATCCTGAGCCCAGCAGCGGTGTACACGCCACGCTCTTCTGGCTTGGCCAATAGGGCGTGCACAGAGCCCCTGGGTCCAGGAGGGGCCCGGCAGGGGGGCAGTGGATAAGCACATGCTTCGTCGCCCGATCTCAGGGGGGGAGAACCGCTCGAGGCAACGGCGGCCATCCTTCTGGCCCCTTCGCCCGCCTCGACCCCCTCGCCACGTGAAGAATTCACGACGGAAACAGTTTTTGGCTCTGTTCGGCCCCTGGAGCCCGCCCTCGCCGGGTCCCGACACCGCTGAACATTGGCCAGGAGGAAGAGTCTGGCCCCGGGGATGCGTGGAGACCCTCGGGGGCCCTCGTCGTGGAAAAACATGACGTCGGGGGTCTGGGTTTTCCGTCTCCTCCCCGTCGGCCTTTCCAGCTGTTCCTCGCCCTCCTCATCCTCCCATTCCTCTTCCTCCCCCTCCTCCTCCTCAACTTCCGTTTCCTCTTCCTCCTCCCCTCCCCCCCCGTCCTCCTCTGCCTTTTTCTTCCCCTCCTCCTCCTCCTCCTCCTCCTCCTCCTCCTCCTCCTCCTCCTCCTCCTCCCCCTCCTCCGTTCCTTCTCGCGCGCTGCAGGCGGGCGCGGGTCAGAACCGCTCCTTTCCTCCTCACCCTCCTCCTCACTGTCGTCGTCGCCATCGTCGCCATCCACGTCATCATCGCGAAAACCAGCATCATGAGCATCACCATCATTACCGTCATCATCATCATCATCATCACCATCATCATCATCATCATATTCATCTTGATCTTCATCATCATCGTCATCGTCATCAGCATCATCACCATCATCATAATAATCCTCATCATCACCAACATCATCATCATCATCATCATCATCATCATCATCATCAGCATCATCATCATCATCGCCGCGATCAGCATCATGCTCCAGCTCTGCGCTACCGAAGGGTCGTCAGGCAGAGGCCCCGGCCGCAGCGCGCGGACGGGGCCCGAAAGGGCCAGGCCCTGGCGGGCGCGCGCGGGCCGCGCGGCGCCGCCCAGGGCAAGATGCCCCCCCGCGCGCCCAAGTGCGCGATCAGCGGCGCTGGCCCCGGACGAGGAAGGAGAGGCAGAGGAAGGGGACAGGGCGGGGGCCGAAGCAGCTGCAGACGACCACGACGCGCGCGGGCAGAGATAATACGAGAAAGCGTTCTCCCGTTACGCGCTAGCGAGGGGTCGTCGGGCGGGGGCCGCGGCCGGCGCGCGCGGGGAGAGGCCAGAAGGGCCAGGCCTTGGCGGGCGCGCGCGGGCCGCGCGACGTCGCTCAAGGGAAGGCGCCCCCATGCGTGCCGAAGGGGGCGACCAGCCGCGCCCATGCTCGAAGCCCCCGCGCAGTGACGAGGCCTCGGCGGGCGGCCGAAATTTGCGCGGGCCACGCAGAAGGACTGCAAATTGGCCGGAGGCGACCCGGCGGTCGCCAGCTGCGGCATAGAACGCAATGCGCACTCAGGATAATGAAGGCAAGGCGGGCGAGACCGACGAGGCGGCGGAAGCCTGAATATAGCGCTCCGCGCTGGATGCCTGCCGCCAACGGCGCGCCAGAAGACGCGAATGGCGTTTTCCGCGGCCGCGCAAAAGTCGGCTGCCCCAGAACCTCGAAGGCAAGCAAGCGCAGGGTCCAGCCCGGAGGCCGCGCAGGACAACGGCGCGCCCAAAGCCGAAAGCAAATGGCTCCACCGAGTGCGGAAGCCGCTGCGCCGCAAGGGTGATAAGGCGACCAGTGGAACACAGATGCTGGAACACGAGTTCCAGGAGCCTCACCTTCGCCCCGCTGGATCAGCGAGCGTGCTGCGCGGGGTCGGCGCGGCGGGTCTTCGGCGCCTGCATCGCGAAGAAAGTGCCCCCGCTGGCCTCGAAACGGTCGCCGGGTCGCGACAGGTCAGCGCGCGACCAGAAGCTCGTCAGGGCGGAGGAGCATCGCGACACCCAGCAGCAGCAGGGCCGCTGAGGGGCTCGCCCCACAGCAGGCCAAGGGGAACCATAATTCGCCCGAAGCAGGGCGCGGGGCAGAAAAAGGCGGCGCGCGGGGGGGCATGCCAGTCTCCGCTGCTCGGCCACGCCCCAAGCTTCTGCGAGGAAGGCGCGCCAGTCAGGACGCGCGCCTCGTAGCCCCAAAATGGCGCGCGCCGAGATGTAGCGCGGGCGACCCGCGTCGCGAAGCCAAGTGCCGAAGATGGCGAGAGAAAGCGAAATCAAACACCCGCTGCGGCTCAGCGCAGCGGAAGTGACGCGCGAATGCCCCGCGAGCCAGGGCTCGAACGCGCCCTCCTATTCAGACCGACGTTCAAGGCGCGGAGAGGCGAGATGCGAATCTCGCACAGAGGAGGCGCGAGGAGCACGAGGGCGGGCAAAGCGGAGCCCAGGGGTCGCCCCCGCGGCAGGGCTGGCCGCCCAAGCGGCGAAGCCAGCTGGGCAGGCGCGGTCGCTGCAGGAGCAGTGCAGAGGCCGCGCGCGCGCCGCTAGATCAGCCCATTCCGCGCAGCAGTGTAGCGCCTCACCGCTGCGCGGCCCTGCGAGACCAGCCCCGCCCGCTCGCGCGCGGGCGCGAAGAACGGGGGGCGCATCGCCTCGCGGCCGTCGAACTCGATGCCCGAGTCGACGGCGAGGTCTTCCCGCGCAGAGGCGAAGGGGGCCCGGGCGTTGAGGGCGACGCGGCGCGCGGAGCCCCCCACCCCCGACGGCGGCGCGCCCCCCCCCGCTTCGAGAGAGCCCCAGTCGAAACATCGCGGACGCCAGCGAGCCTCGCGAGCGCCGCGCACTCCCGCGACGTCTCGCGGCGCTGGGCCGCGGGGGGCAGCCCCGAGGGCGACCCCGCCGAGACTGCGCGCGCGAACGCGCGACGCAGCTCGGGGCGCCCCCCGCGGCGAACCCGGCCCAAGACGGGGGGCGACTTCCCGTCCAGGCAGGCGCGCCGCAAGCCGTCCAGCACGGCGGCCACGGCCGCGACCCGCTTGCGCCGCGTCGCATTGCGACCCGGACCGGCTTCCCGAATGGCCCCCTGGATGAGGGATCCGACAGCCCCGCCCCTCACCTGGCCATCGGGGGCGACGGCGCCCTCTGCGGTGAGCTCGCCGGGGCCCTCTGCGGAGCGCGCGGCGCCCGCGCGAAACAGACGGGCAGCGCGCCCGCGGAGCGCGCCAGAGGCGCAGCGGCGGCGAGGAAGGGCAAGGGAGACGCGCCGCCCCCCCCCCCGATGGCGCCCTAGCATCTCCCGCGGGGCGTCCGAAGGGGCAGGCGTCATGGGGGGCGCCCCTGGCGGCCAGGCAAGGATGGGGGGGGGGGGGGGGCCCCGTGCCTCCGCGGGCCCCGCGACCGCGGCGGGCCAGTCTCCGCGATCGCGGAGACTGGCCGCGCCAGGGGCCTTGGCGAGAAATGCTTCGGGATCAGAGGTTGGCACGAGGCTGGGCGCATCTCCCCTACGGTTCGACTCCCGGCCCCTGGCGCCAGCGCGGCTCTGCGCCCCGCCGACAGCGGCGCGCCGAGCAGGAGGGCCGGAACTAATGCGGCGGCCGGGCACGTGGGCCGCCGCGGGGCCAGAGCCACCGCGAGAGGACAGACCCCGCCCGCAAAGCCTAGGGGCGCAACTGGAGCAGCGCGGCGCGGCGGGAGCCCCCCCGAGCAAGGCCCGCGGCCGCAGCGCCGGGCCCGACACGGCAGTGGGCCCCGCGGCTGGACGGGACTTGGGACGGATGCCCAGGCCCGCGGCGGCGCGCGCTCGCGGGGGGGGGGCCCGGGAGCGCCCCAGGCGCTGCCCGGGGAGGGGGAACTGGAAGCGCGCGCGGTCCTGAAGGTGCACCGCCGCCCCCGCCGGCCGCAGCGGCAGCGTCGGGCATCGCGGGCGGGGCCGCGGCGCTGGCGATCCCGCGCCGGTCGGCCGCGCGCCGGGCGCGGCTGCCGAGCGGGGCGGGCGCGCGGCCCCCGCGGTTAGGGTGGTCCTCCAACGCCTCCCCCCGCGGGCCCTGGCTCGCGCGCGCGCGCCCGCCGCTGGCCCCGCCGCGAGGAGCTGGCGGCGGGATCTTCAGCGGCCAGCCTCTCGAGCTCGCGGGGGTCCGCGGCCTCCGCGTCGGCCGGCGGGCGGCCGAGGGCCGACGCGGGCGCGTCGGGGCCCGCGCGCGCAGCGCTGTCTGCGAGCCCCCGCTCGGTGCGCGACCACGGCGTGGCGGAGCACCGCGCGCGTAGGCTCGCGCTGGCGTCGGCCGTTCCGGACTGGCTCCGCGCGCTTCAGCCCGCGCGCTTCCCACGCCCCAGCCCCCATCAGCCGCCGCGTCGCCTCGCGATCGGCGACGCTGCTGGCCGGGCCAGCCCGCGAGGCAGCGCGGGGGGCCTCGCCCCGCGGCGCGGCGGAAGGGGGCGAGGCTGCTGGCCATCGCGGAACGCGCCGTGCGGATCGCGCTCAACCCCGCGCGCTCTTGCTCGGCGACCTGCATGGGCACCGCGGAGCCAGCGGCGGCCAGCGCGGAGTCCGCGGGGCCGATGCCTCGAGCGACTTCCCGCGAGTCAGACAGAGCCCGACGCAGGCGAAGCTCATCTTCGGCCGCGAGCACGCGAGAGGTCACCGCCTCGTCGAGGGCCGTCAGCACGAAGGAGCGGCCAGCGGTCGCACGACTGCGGGCCCCCCTGCCCTGCGCCCAAGCCTTCGACAGCGCTCGCGAGGCTGCCCCAGGCGCTGGGGGCCCCGCAAGCCTGCGCCAGCGTGGACTCGGCGTCGCAGAAGGCCCGCCAGCGGCCCGCCCGCTCCCCCGCCGGCTCGAGGCCGTCACTCCCGACTGGGGCCATGTCGGGGTGACAATCTTGCGGAACGCGGCCTCGATGACAGGCCGAGGCGCGTCCACGGCCGCGCCCAGGAGGGCGGCCGCGGTCCGCGGCCGCGCGGAGCTCGCGAAGCGACGCGGCGCCGAGAAGAGGCGCCCCGACGGCGCCAGCGTCGAGCCCCGAGGACGGATCGGACGCCGCCCGCAGAGGCGGAGCCGCGACGGGGCCCGACGGCCGGGAAGGCCCTGGCGCGGGCGCGGGAGAGGCTTCAGGGGCAGCCTCCAACCTCGCACCCCCGTCGAAGCCATCGCTGGCAGGGCCGCGCTGACAGAGCAGCGCGACGCGCGGCCCCCGCAAAGCGCGGCTGCGGCCGAGGTCGCAGGCCGCAGCACCGCGGGGGGCCTCCGGAGCCGAGGGCGCATCTGGCTGCGAGGGGCCCCTGGCAAAGGCGGCCACCCCCGCGCCCGAGGGGGGGGGCGGGCGGCGCGGGGCCACGGGGGGCCGCGCCCCCGGGCCTGCGAATCAAGCACAACGCAGCCACGCGATCCCGCATGCAAGCGGGGTCAGACGCGCGGGAAAACGCCAGGGCCAAAATCAAACCTGGGGGGTCGCCCGCCTCCCCTTCGAGCAGCCACGCGGGGGGTGGCCGTGAGGGCGGCCGCGCCGCGCGGTTCCGAGCCGGGTCGTCAGCCCTATGCGCATCAGTTGGAGCGCGCAGGCCTCCAAGGTAGAGACCTCCCCCGACGATGTAAGGTAACATCGCACATGGGGAGGCCCAGGGGAGCTAGTCTGGCCGTGAGCGGTGGCGCCCAGGGCATGTTGGAGCACAACAACACAGGAATCTGCACATCGAGGCACCGAATGCAACTGTGCTCTCAGTGGCTGTTGCAGTCGGCTGTCTCCAATATAGTTCTGTGGAGGGGCGCATCAAACTCCCATTCGCAAGCCAATCGGGAGTACAGGGCCCCTGGCAGCTCAGCGATCAAACGCGGAGCGACAGAGGCCCAGCGAGGGGAGACCCAATTATGCGCGCAGCTGGGCGAGCTCAGGCCCCAGGGAAGTCCCGCGGCTCAGCGCAACGAACAAATCGGCGATCGTACAACGCGGCGCGCAACCCGCCGCGCTCGGACCTGCGCCGCAGAACGGCCGAGAGGCGCGGGCCGACAGGCGCTCGGCCAACGCCGCAAGCGTCCGCGCCGAAGACTTCGGGGGCATAACCTGCGCGGAGGTCGGTCGTGGCCGCGTAGGCCAGATACGCGCGTGCTAGGAGTTCGCGGCGAGAGGGGATGGGCAGCCAGCACTCCGAAGCGGTTCCCATGTCGAGGGTAGATTGGGCGGTGTAGGCGCGGGTGAACACCGACAGAAGGTCGGCGATGCAGGAACACTTGCACCCAGCGCCCCACAAGCGACACCACCACGGCGTGCGTCAAACGACCGAGGCACACATGGACACGCGCGAGCCTGCACAAAGCCACCGTCCGAACAAGCGGGGCGCAAACACTGTCAATCCTACCTTGCACCACGGCGCCGGCGACGACCTCGTGGGCCGCGCCGCGCGCCCGCTTACCTGGATGCTGGATGGGGCCCGCGCCGGGTCGCCCGCGGTCGCAGGCGGCGAAGACCATCTGATCGCGACGAAACGGGTCGTCAGGCCGCGGGGCATCATCTGTCCAGGAGAGCTTCCGAAAGCCCGCGTGATCTCGTCGATATTGAGCACCTCGACGAACAGGCCGCGCGGAAAAGGAACACGATGCACATCTTGCCCCCCAGGGCGGATAACCTCGAAATTGCGCGGCACGCCCTCATGGGCGGAATTGGCGACCTCAACAGCCATGCTGTCGCCTATCGCGAGCGCGTTCAGGCGCGGGGACACATCGATCCTAGCCAGCTTGGACCGCCATGCCTGGAACGACTTGAAGCGGTCCGCGGGGGCCGCGCTCGCAACGCATTCCGCTTGGCCCGAACCGGCGGCACCTCACAGGTAGAAGAGAACTCGCGCAAACCATCGCGTGACAAACCCGGCCACTGGCCAGGAGCCAGGCGCACGCGGAAATCTAAAATACCCTGGTCCAGGCGTTGAGTGCTGGAGAAGATGCTCTGACAGAGACTGTTCACCACCGTGGGCTTCAGGGTCGGACGATCGAAATCGCCGCCCCTGGGGGCTCCAAAAGCTCCGCGCGCCTCGCCCCGATCGAAATCCGAGGAGGGGTCGGGCGCAGGGCGCCGGAGGTGTCCCATTTCCGACAGACGCCCCCGCAGCTCCGCCCGAAACATGTGAACCCGAGCACCCCGAAGCCCGTCAGGCCACTGTCCGCGCGGAAGGCGCGCGACCTCGGGGCCCAGAAAGGCAGCGCGGACCCGGGGGTCGGAGAGGGCGGGGGGGCGGGATCAGACGTAGGCGAATAATCACACTTGACGTGGGACGCCGCGACTCTAAGCTCACCGGGCTCGGCGTCGATAGAGCCCAAGACCAGCGCAGAAACCGGCGAGCCAGCAACCGACGCGCTGCTCGGGCAGACCCGCACGGGGGCGAGCACGAGGGATGAGGAGAATAAGGAGGCCCTACAACTGCAAGATAAGTGGACAGACAATGGAGCGATGCCTCCGCGGCGTCGATCTGCGCGAACGTCCGCCCCGAGCCGCTCTTGCCCCCGCGGGCAAGGCGAACTGCGATCATGAAGAGCCGCTCGAAGCGGTTCAGCGTGCCCTCCTGGCACGGGGCGACCGTCGCGCGCGCGGGCCTCGGGGGGCGCGGGGCTAGGCGCCTCAAGTGGGCAAGTTAAGTGCAGTCATCCCACGCTGCCCGAGCGCACGCGGCGCGCTTCAGCCGCCAGCGCTGACTGGCGCGACCCGTAGACGACGTCGCAGGCGGCTCGGGGGCGCAGGCCGGGGGGCGCGTCCAGGGGTCGTGGGGGAAGCACTCCTCGGAAAGAAGCGCGCTCCGGAGCGGCGCGCGCAGGGGCACCCGGGAGGTGGGCGCGAGAGGACACTGAGCACCCTGCCCCACGTGGGCCAGCCCAGTGCGTGGCATCGACGTTCGCGCCTGGAACAAAAGCGCAGCACGGCAGCGAGGTCAGCCGCGAAGGGCGCGACGCGCAGGTGGCGGGCGAGACAGAGTCCGCACCGCTAGAGCAAGGAAGAACCACGGGATCCGTCGGGGCACGATGGGGGGCCTGATGCGGAGCGAGGGCCGCGACCGCGAAGCGTCCATCTCCCTGTGGGGCCGGAACTGCATGGCGGGAGTAGCACATTCCCACGGCTGCGGCTCCGCTCAGCCCAGGGACGCGCGTCGGCCGCCTAACGTCGCCGAAAACATCGGCCCGTCGCGACCTCCACCCTCGGCCGCCGCGCGCAAAATGAGAGGGCCCCCCGAGTCGGGCCCCGCCAGCCTTCTTCGGGGGCCCTTTCGAGGAAAACGTCCCCCCCTTGGGCTTCGCCTTGGGCGGGGTCTTCGACTCGGCGGCCGGGGGGGCTTTCGCCTGCCCCGCCCGCCCGGCGCCGACGCGCCATCTCCCTCGCACGCTCGTCCTGAGCCGACTGCCAGCGAGGGTCCACTAGCGGGGAAAACGGCAACGGGGCCTCTCCCCCCGCGTGGATACGAGTCGCCTGAACTGGGGGCGCCTCGAGCCCCGCCAGGAACAGGGCAGCTTTCAGGTCAGCGCGGCCACCTGCCAGTTGATCAAGGCTTCCACCCAGTCTGCGCCCCCACTCTCGGGCGCACGCCGCAGCTCCGCGCTCGGCTACGCGGAGAGGGCGGGCATCTCGCGCGTCGCTGGCCGGGCCCCCCACGGGCTGCGCCTGGGAGAACAAAAGAAAAAACTGAAACATGGCCACGGGGGCGACCGCGGACGGCTCCGCCCGGATCCCGAGCGAGGTTCGCCCTCAGGACGGATCGAACCTCCAGCCCGTGCTGCAGCAGCACTGGCTACTATTCCCTGCGACGCGCGATCCCACGCGTTGAGATTCCGACGACCCCCCTTCGACCGCTGTCCCGAGAGGGGCAGGGCAGCGGGGTGAAGAGGGTCGCTGACGTCCACGGGAGGAGATGCGTCGCCGCCTTGGGCTGCCCTGACCGCTGGAGGGACTCCCGCAGACACGATAACGCCAGCTCCAAAACGGACGCTGGGCCGCTGCTCACTCGTGTTTGTGCGCGTGGTTGCTAAATCGCCAGAGCAGTCGCTCCGCCTAGCCGCCGACGCAAAAAGGGCGTGGCGTGGCGGAGCGAGGCAGGGGCGAGCGGCGGCGACTTCTCTGGCATCGCCCGCAGGTCCCCCTTGCCCGCGCGCGCCGCCTCTTTGGCGAACAGCTGCGGCGCCTCGACGCGCGCCCCCAGCGAACGCTGGCTGGATCTCCAGCTGGACTCTGCGGGTCACTGGCGCGATGGAGCCGCAGCGATCGCGCCCCCCCGGCGGGCCTCGCTCGCCAGGGTTTCGGGGGCGCCGAGACGGGCCCGGCGGTGCGCCCAAACGTCGTCGTTCACGGGGAATGGAGGGCGCCCGACGTCGGCGTCTTCCCCTCGCCCCCTGCGAACTCCCCGCAGAATGGCGGGGCGTTGCCGCCCGGGCCAGGGGCGCCCCCCCCCCGCCCAGGGGTGCCGCGCCGCGGGTCGCCACGCGCGTCGCGCAGGCCGACGACCCCCAGAAGGCGCGGCCAACGCGCGCGGCCACGGGCAGAGCCGAACGAGACAAGCCTGTCGGCTTCTCCCTCATCGAGAGGGGCGAGAGTCTCAAGCTCCAGCTCGGCGATCTCCAGATCGACCACCAGCGCCGAAGCGGTCGTGCTCAGCGGGCACGAAGCCGCACCGAGCAAGGGCATGCTGACCACCTGGACGGGGCCGACCAGCCCGCTGAACCCTTCCGCCTCCGCCAAACTGAGAAGGTCGGCCGAGCGAAAGGGCCCGGGCAGTGCCGGCAAGGCGCCCCCAGACCGAATGGCCGAGGGGATCGCGGCGTAGCTCACGTCGCCCTCGCCCAGCTGCCAGCGGTCGTAGCGCGACGCCGTCGAGGACGATAGCGGGCGAAGGTCGTGCCAAAGCGGCCCGTCGGGGATGGGGGCTCCCCCGACGCTGATGCGTCGTCCGCCATGGCTGTTGGCTGACCGTCGGCGCGAAAGCCATCATTCGAGCTCGGCCGTCATGCGGAGCAACGACGGGGCCCGGTGCCGAAGGCTGCGCTCGCTCCTCAGCCTGCGCGCCTGGGCCATAGGCCAGGGCGCGCTGCGGGCCTCGACCGAAGCCCTCCAAGGGCTGCGATCGACGCCCGTGTGCGAAGGCCACCAGAGCCCCGACGCAACAGCCTCCGCAGAGGAGGCTGCAGGCGGCAGTGGTTGCCGACAGGGCCACCACCAATGAAAGCAGCAGAGGAGGCACCCCGCTGCTCAGCTCCACCGCCAACCCCAGGCAGACGGTGGGGCGGGCCGCACCAGCAGCGGCGGGAGGGCAGCACCATCCGCCGCCCAGGTCGGCCTGCGCAGACCACGGAAGTCGTGTTCCTGCTAAGTGGGCTTCTGTTCTGCTAAGTGGGCTCCCGATGTGCTTGATCCTGTTGCCAGCTCCGCCTCCTGCTGCTGGTCCTGTTTTTCTTCTCGTCATCCTCCTCGTCCTCCTCCTCCTCCTCCACTTCCTCCTCCTGTCCTCCCCATCCTTCCTCTTGTCACGTCCTACCACTCCCTCCTTCTCCTCCTCCTCCTCCTCCTCCTCCTCCTCCTCCTCCTCCTCCTCCCACAATTCCTTGTCACCTCCTCCTCCCTCTCCTCCTCCTCCTCCTCCTCCTTCCTCCTCCTCCTCCTCCTCCTCCTCCTCCTCCTCCTCCTCCTGCCTCGGCGGCCTTCGGCGGCCGTCGTCGTCGGTCGTCGTCGCCGCCGCCGTCGCCGAAAGCGTCCTCTTCCTGCTAAGTGAGCTTCTGGCATGCTAAATGCGCTTCGTTTGCTTGATCCTGTTGCCAGCCCTGCCTCCTGCTACTGGTGTTGCACAGTGGTTCATGCCAAGCTGCATGGGGAGCTCTGGAAAAACAACTACACCTCCTCCTCCGTGCTCCTCCTTTCCCTCTCTATCTCTATCCCGCATCTCACGCAGTGGAAGCCACTGTCTGTTCCCATTGCATGGAGGGCCTTTGCGTTGCATTGCATGGCATTGCATTACAACGCATGGCATTGCATTTCTGTTGCGTCACTTCCCATGGCACTGCATTACATTGCGTTGAGAGATCGTCGCAACTCTGGGCTCCGAGTTGCCGGGGGCAAGATGGCCTGGCCCATTTCGCCTGATACATCCTCGCAACTCTGGAATCCAAGATGCCACGCGCGAAGTGGTCCGGTCCGTTTCGCCATCTTCGCAATTCTGGGCTCAGATATGCCCCTAACCTGAGTAGGTCCAGCCCGCTTCGCCTTAGACATCCTCACGACTCTAGGCTCAGACATGCCGCGCGCGAGGTGATCTGGACAATTCTACTTCAGACATTCTCGCCTGAGATGTCCTCCCAACTCTGCGAGATGCCGCGCGCGAGGTGGTCTGGTCAATTTAGCCTGAGACATCTTCGCAAGTCTGGGCTCCTAGATGCCGCGCGTGAAGAGGTGCGGCCCGGCTCGCCTGAGGATCCTCGCAACTCTGGGCTCATATATGTCCTGGCTTGATGTGGTCCGACCCATTTCGCTTGAGACATCCTCACAACTCTTGGCTCAGATATACCTTTCGCGAGGTGGTCTGGCCCATTTTCGCCAGAGGCATCCTTGCACCTCTGGGATCGGAAATGCTCTGACCTGAGTTGGTCTGATTCGCCCTGGACATCCTCGCAACTCTTGGCCTAGATATGCCCTGACCTGAATTGGTCCGGCCCAGGTCGCCCGGGGCATGCCCGCAATTCTGGGATCCGAGCTGCCAGGCGCGAGGTGGTCCAGCCAAACTCGCCTCACACGTCCTCGCAACTCTTGGCTCCGAGAGACCGCGTGCGAAGTGGTCCGGCGGATTTTGCATGCGACGTCTCTGGGCTGCAAGATGTCGCGCGCGGGCTCAGATTTACTCTGACCTAAGCTGGTCCAGCCCGTTCCGCCTGATACATCCTCGCAACTCCAGGTTCAGAGATGCCGCGCGCGAGGTGGTCTGGCCGATTTCGCCTGAGACATCCTCGCAACTCTGGTCTCAGAATTGAATTGTTGTGGCCTGAGGTGATCTGGCCCGTATCGCCCGAGACATCCTCACAACTCTAGGCTCGAAGTTGCGACGCGCGAGGTTGTCCGGTCCGGTTCGCCTGAGACATCCTCGCAACTCTGGGCTTCGAGATGCTCCTGACTTGAGGTGGCCTGGCCAATTTCGTCTGAGACGTCTTCGCAACTCTGGGCTCAGACATGCCGCGCCTGAGGTCGTTTGGCCAATTTCGCTTGATGCGTCCCCGCAACTCCGGGCTCAGAGATGATGCGCTCGAGGTTCTCGGGCCAGATTCGCCTGATCCATCCTCGGAACTCTGGGGTCGGGCCAATTTCGCTTCAGACCTCCTCGCAAGTCTGGGCTCGCTCCGAGATTCAGCGCGCGAGGTAGTCCGGTCAGTTTGCCTGGGACATCCTCACAACTGGGCTCCCAGGGGTGGGGGGGAGGAGTCAGACGGGGCCAGGCACAAGCTACCTGTTACAGTACCCTGCTGATGCCGAATTGTGCCCCAGGAGGGGCCCAGGCGCCCCTGCCCCGAGGGAACAGTTAGCCGGCGCCGAGGCGAGAGCATGATTTCTGAGTCATGTGGAAGGAAGTCTCAGGCGGGGGGGCGCCATGCCTTAGTTAGTACATGTTGACATCTTCAGCGAGAGGAGAACTTGGAGGGTGAAGAGGAGAACCAGGAGTACGAGGGGCGAGAAGAACCAGGGGAAGAGCAGCAGGAGCACGATGACGAGAATGAGGAGAAGAAGAGAAGGGGGAATAATAACGACGAGGATAATGAGGAATGGAATGAGTCGGGGGAGGAGAAGGAGTGGGAGGAGAAAGAGCAGGAGGGATGCGTGGGAGGGGGAGAGGGCAATAAGTATGGCAATGAGGACGATGTCAGCAATGACGACGACAGTGATGGCGACAAGGGCGCAGGCAAATCAGCAATATGTGGAGCCATCCTGCCTCAAAATCGTTGTTGGGGATGCTGGAGTGAGGCTATAAATCGGTCTGTTGGTGCTGCTTCTCCGCCTCGTCTTCCTCCTTGTCCTGGTCCTCCTGCTGCTGCCTCCTCCATGTCCCCCCCAACCCCTCTTGCTCCTCCTTGCAGGCTCTCCTCCTCGTCCTCATGTTCCCTCCCCGCTCCCCCCTTTTCCTCCATATTCCCGCAAGGACTGTGTTGATGTTGGTGCTAAGAAAGGCGCTGCGCCTGACGGTACCGGTATCGATATCGATGCCGGTGCCGGTACCGATGCCGGTATCGGCACCGGCACCGGGCCATGATCGGCATCGGTATCTCAGCAGAAGATACAGCCAACACCAAAAGCGTTTCGCTTCCGATCGCGCTTCCTGCCCCTTGGGTCTTAGGCGTTCGCCACGTCCTACGCGTTCTCAGCAGACGTGGTGCGGCGAACGCCTAAGATCTACAAGGCGGCCTGTGCTGAGATGAGGCCTGCGCTGCAGGGGTCTTCTCAGCAGGGGCACCCGGGTGCCCCTGCTGAGAGGAAGTGGGTCTGACCCTGGGATCGTCGTCTGGATCTGATGAGACAAGCTCCATTTGGGGGGCGTCGTCTCAGCAAGCCCAGCCGACGATCCCGCAGGCAGACCCGCGCCCTCTCTGCAGAGGCACCCGGGTGCCCCTGCTGAGAAGAGCTCTGCAGCGCAGGCCTTCTTCCAGCAGAGGCCACAGTGTGGATCTTGGGCGTTTTCCGCGGCCTCGGCCGGCCGTTCGCTTCTGCCGCGGCGGGCGGCCGCCCGTTCACCCGATTCGTCATCGCCGTAGTCGTCGCCGTCGTCGTCATCATCAGGACCCTCTTCATCATCATCGACGACAGCATCATCATCGGCAACGCCACCATGAGAATCATCATCATCATCATCATCATCAACATCATCGTCATCATCGTCGTCGTCATCGTCATCATCACCGTCGCCATCATGCCCGCCGTCACAGTCACCCTCGCAATCGACATCATGAGCCGTCATTCCAATCGTTGTCGTCGTCACCGTGAGCGCCGATGCCGCTGGCATATATTGCAGTCGCCATGATCGGTGGATCGTCGCCATCAGTGAGATCCACATGATGACGACTACCATCATCTTTATCATATCCATCCTCCTGTTTATCTGCCTCTGCCTTCTGATGCACAGTGCTTTTTATGCCCCCTGATCCTCTGTACTTCTTCCTTGGACAATCGTAGAAAGTGAGGAACAATAAGTGAGGAGAAGGACGGGGAGTGAGACGTGAGAAAAGAGCAGGAGTTGGAGGAGCAGCGGGGGGAGGATTGGGGATGGAAGAGGGGCAGTGGCAGAAGGAGGACCAGGACAAGGAGGAGGAGGGCGCGGAGCAGCAACACATGATGAATAAGTGATAGCCAGGGGCCAGCATCCCCAGCAGAAATGTGAAATCCAACGTTGATTCAAAGCTTGTTCGCGAGTCCTCCGAATCATCGCCGTCCTGTTCCTGATTGGCATGCGCCCGTCTCGTGATCACTGTCGTCGTCGTTGTTGTCGCCGTCCTCATCATCATGTTTCTTGCCGCCTACCCGCCCGCGCAACCTCATCGTCCTCACTTTCCTCCGCCTCCTCATGCCGTTCCTCTCTCTTCTCGCCGTTTTGTTCCTCCTTCTCCTTTTTATCATCATTCTCGTCGTCGTGCCCCTGATGCTCTTCCTCATCATGTCTCTCCTCGCCCCTCATCGTACTCTGGGTTCTCCTCCTTGCCTTCATATTTATCCTCTCGTTGGAGATTTCTTCAACATTTATTCCGGCCTAGCGCTCCCGCCTGAGACGCCCTTCCAAATGACACAGACGTCCTGCTCTCGCCTCGGCGCCAGCTAACTGCCCACTCGGGCCAGGGGCGCTTGAATCCCCTCCTGGAGGACGATGCGATAACAGCAGTGTAATCAAACTGGTTGTTTGGTCCTGGCCCCGTCTGGGAACCCAATTGCGAGGATGTCTCAGGCGAGCAGGCTGGGCCACCTAGCGGTCCACATCTCAGAGCCCAAAGTAGCGAGGATGTCTCAGGAGAAACAGGCCAGGCTACCTAAAGTCAGGGCATCTCTGAGCCTGGAAATGCAATGATGCCACAAGAATCTGGCCAGACCACCTCGCGAGCAGCATCTGAGCCTGGTGTTGCGAGGAAGTCTCTGGCGAAGCGCGTCAGCCAACCTCGCGCGCGGCACGTCTGAGCCCGGAGTTGCGAAAATGTCTCGGGCGGAACGGGCCATACCACCTCAGGTCAGAGCATATATCAGCCCAGAGTTGCGAGGATGTCTCAGGCAAAGTTGGCCAGACCACATCGCGCGCGGCATGGTGGAGCCCAGAGTTGCGAGGATCTCGCAGGCGAAAATGGCAAAACCACCGCGCCCGCGACACTTGGGAGCCAAGAGTTGCGAGGATACCTCAGGCGAAACTGGCTGGACCACCTCGCTCCTGGCATCTCGAAGACCAGAGTTGCGAGAATGTCCCAGGCGAGCTGGGCCGGACCACCTCAGGTCAGGGCATATCTGAGATTGGAGTTGCGAGGATGTTTCAAGCGAATCGGGCCGGACCAATTCATGTCAGAGCATCTCCAATCCCAGAGCCGCGACGATGTCTCGGGCGAGAATGGCCGGACCGCTTTGTGCGCGGCGTGTCTGAGTCTGAGCCCAGAATTGCAAGGGTGTCTCAGGCGAAATGGGCCAGACCACCTCGCGCGCGGCATATCTGAGCCCAGAGTTGCGAGGACATCTCAGGCGAAATGGGCCATACCACATCAAGCCAGGGCGTACCTGAGCCCAGTGTTGCGAGGATGCTCAGGCGAGCCCGGCCGCACCATCTCGGGCGGAGTTGGCAAGACTACCTGGCGCATAGCATATCGGAGCTCAGAGTTGGAAGATGTCTCAGGCGAAACGGGCCAGGCCACCTCAGGTTCAGGCATCTCTGAGGCCAGAGTGGCGAGAATGTGTGAGGCAAAATTGGCTGGATCACCTCGCGCGCGGCATGTCTGAGCCCAGAGTTGCGAGGATGTCTCAGGCGATTTGGGCTGGACCTGCTCAGGTCACGGCATCTCTGAGCCCAGAGTTGCGAGGATGCCTCTGGCTTCCACTGTAGGGGCCAGCGGGCCTCGCAAGGTCAGCGACCTCGGTGATCGGTGACCTGCCAGAGCCTCCAAGAGGCCTCGTGAGGTCACCGACGTCGGGGACCTGCCGCGGCCATCAACGGGCCTCGCGAGGTCACCGACCTCGGTGACCTGCTGGGGCCTCCAGCGGGCCATGCAAGGTCACCGGCCTGTGTTCGATATACGGTGGCCTGCCAGGGGGTCCAAAGAACCTCGCAAGGTCTCGGTGACATGCGGGGCCTTCAAAGGGCCCCTTTAGGTCACCCACCTCGGTGACCTTCCCGGGCCTCCAGCGGGCTTCGCAAGGTCACCAGCCTGGGTTTAAGACTCGGTGATCTGCCGGAAGCTCCAAAGAGCCTCGCAAAGTCACCGACCTCGGTACCCTGCCGGGGCCTTCAACGGGCCTCGCGAGGTCACCGACCTCGGTGACCTGCCAGGGCCTCCAGCGGACCTCGCAGGGTCACCGGCTTGTGTTCGATATGCGGTGGCCTGCCGGGGGTCCAACGAGCCTCGCAAGGTCACCGACCTCGGTGACCTGCCAGGGCCTTCAACGGGCCTCGCAAGGCCACCGACCTCGGTGACTTGCTGGGGCCATCAACGGGCCTCGCGAGGTCACCGACCTCGGTGACCTGCCTGGGCCTCCAACGGGCCTCGCAAGGTCACCGTCCTGTGTTCGACATTCGGTGACCTGCCCAGGCCTCCAGAGGGCCTCGCGAGGTCAACAACGGCTGCCGGGGCCTCAAACGGGCATCGTCGTCATCGTCGTCATGGCCGTCGTCGTCGTCATGGCCGTCGTCGTCGTCGTCGTCGTCGTCGCCGTCGCCGCCGCCGCCGTCGTCGTCGTCGTCGTCGTCGCACTATAGAACGGTTCTCGCGCGCTGGACACCGGACACCGAACACTGGACACCGGACACCGGGCACTGGACACCAAGCAGCGGGCACCGGACACCGGACACCGGACCCGGACATTGATGGTGATGTTTATGTTGGCGTCGATGACGACTACGGTGATGATTGCGATGTTGATAGTGACGTTGGTCGTGACGATGCAGACGGCGACGGTGATATGATTATGATGGTGACGAAGTTGACAATGAAGTTGACCATGATGGTGATGGTAATGACGATGATGACGATGACGATGTTGATTGTTACGATGATTGTGATGTCGCTGCTGATGATCATAGCGAATATTATGCTTTTGCTGACTGATAAAGTGGAGGAGGAGGAGGAAGAAGAGGGAGGAGGAGGACGGGTCGTCGTCGCGGTCTTCGTCGTCGTCGTCGCCTTCATCGTCGTCGTCGTCGCCTTCATCGTCGTCGTCGTCGTCGCCTTCATCGTCGTCGTCGTCGTCGCCGACGCCTTCGTCGTTTTCGTCTCCCTCGTCGCCCTCGCGGAGGTCCAGCAAGACATATTGAACACTATTTTAATGTCTCGCCCCGACCGACCCGCCCCGCCCGCCCGTTAGGGTCCGCCCGCCGGACCCGACCCGCCCGTTAGGGCACGCGCGTGCCAACTCGATGATGTTTCCTACTTTAATGTCCCGCCCGCCCGACCCGACCCGCCCGTTAGGGTCCGCCCGCCCGACCCGACGCGCCCGTTGGGGCCCGCTCCTGCTGCTCCTCATCCTCCTGATCATCCCCCCACTCCTCCTCCTCCTCCCCCTCCTCCTCCTTCTCCCCATCCACCTCCTCCTCCTCCTCCTCCTCCCCCTCCTCATCCTCTTCATTCCCCCTCATCCTCATCATCATAATCCTCATTATGCTGCTGTTCTTCCTCCTCCCCATCCTCATCATCCTCCACATCCTCTACCTCCCCCTTCTCTTCATCATCGCCATCATTATCATCCTCCTGCTGCTCCTTCCCCTCCTCATCCTGATCCCCCTCCTCATACTCCTTATGCTGCCATCCTGCTGCTGCTGCATCCTCGTCCTGCTGCTTGTCCTCCTCCTGCTCATCATCGTCATTATAATCATATAGCTCCCCCTCATCATCCTTATCATCCTCCTCAACATCCTCATCCTTCTCCGTCTTCTCATCCTCCTCATTATCTTCATCTTCATTCTCCTGATTCCCCTCCTTATCCACCCCTTCCACATCCTCCCCCCGTCCTCCTCATCCTCCTCAACCCCCTCTTCCACCTCAGCCTCCTCCTCCCCCTCATCCTCCTGCTGCTTATCCTCATCCTCATTCTGATTACTGTTATCCGTTATCCGTTATCCTCCTCCTCCTCCTCCTCCTCCTCATCATCACCATCATCATCCTCATCCTTCTGCTGCTGCTGCTCCTCCTCCCCGGCCTCATGCTCTGCAACTGAAGCCAGACACTGGACACCGGACACGGGACCGGACTCCGGACTCGGGACACCGGACTCCGGACAACGGACACCCGCAGACACCAGACACCGGACGCCAAATGCCAGACTCCAGACTCAGACGCCAGACGCCGGACACCAAACACCGGACACCGGAAATCGGACACCGGACGCCGGATGTTGGACGCCAGACGCCGGACACCGGACACCGGACACCGGCACTGGACACGTGTCACCGGGCACCGCAAGAATCGTCCATACTTTCGTCGTCGCAGTCGTCGTCTCCATCGTCGTCTTCGTCGTCGTCGTCAGCGTCGTCGCCTCGTCGCGTCGTCGTTGTCGTCTTTGTCGTCGTCGTCGTCGTCGTCTTTGTCGTCCTCGTCGCCGTCGTCGTCGTCTTCGTCGTCATCGTCGTCGTCGTCGAGTCGTCGCCGTCGCTTTCGTCGTCGTCGTCGTCGCCCTCGTCGTCGTCGTCATCGTCGTCTTTCTCGCCCTCGTCGTCAGCGTAGTCATCGTAGACGTCGTCGTCTTCGTCGACGTAGTAGTAGTGTTCTTCGTCGTCGTCGGCGTCGTCTTCGTCGACGTCGTTGTCGTCGACTTCGTCGTCTTCGTCGTCGTCGCTTTTGAAGCCGTCGTCGTCGTCGCCCTCGTCGCCCTCGTCGTCGTTGTCGCCATGGTCGTCGTCGTCGGCGGCGTCGTCGTCGTCGTAGTCGTCATCGTCGCCCTCAGCGTTGTCGTCGTCGTCGGCGTCGTCGTCGTAGTCGTAGTCGTCGTCGTCGCCGCCGCCGCTGCCGTCGTCGTCGTCGTCGTCGTCATCGTCGTCGTCGTCGTTCTCGTCGCCTTCGTCGTCGTCGTCGTTGTAATCTTCGTCGTCCTTGTCGTCGTCGTCCTCGTCATCGTCGTCGCTTTCAAAGCCGTCGTCGTCGTCGTCGTCCTCGTCGTCGCCGTCTTCGTCGTCGTCGTCGTCGTCGGCGACGTTGTCGTCGCCGCTGTTGTTGTCGTCGTCGCCGCTGTCATCATCGTCGTCGTCGTCGTCGTCGCCGCCATCGTCCTCGACGTCGTCGTCGTCGTCGCCTTCTCTCTCCGGCGACCCCCACCCATAGGAGAAGTCCAGCTGGACTTGTCCTTTGGGTGGTGTGCTTGGCTCTCCAGCGACCCCCACCCATAGGAGAAGTCCAGCTGGACTTGTCCTATTGGCTCTCCGGCGACCCCCACCCATAGGAGAAGTCCAGCTGGACTTGTCCTATGGGTGGGGTGCTCGGCTCTCCAGGGACCCCCACCCATAGGAGAAGTCCAGCTGGACTTGTCCTATGGGTGGGGTGCTTGGCTTTCCGGCGACCCGCACCCATAGGAGAAGTCCACCTGGACTTGTCCTATGGGTGGGGTGCTTGGCTCTCCGGCGACCCCCACCCATAGGAGAAGTCCAGCTGGACTTGTCGTATTGGCTCTCCCGCGACCCCCACCCATAGGAGAAGTCCAGCTGGACTTGGGTGGGGTGCTCGGCTCTCCGGGGACCCCCACCCATAGGAGAAGTCCAGCTGGACTTGTCCTATGGGTGGGGTGCTTGGCTCTCCGGCAACCCCGACCCAGCTGGACTTGTCCTATGGGTGGGGTGCTCTCCGGCTCCAGCTGGACTTGTCCTATGGGTGGGGTGCTTGGCTCTCCGGCGAGCCCCACCCATAGGAGAAGTCCAGCTGGACTTGTCCTATGGGTGGGGTGCTTGGCTCTCCGGCGACCCCCACCCATAGGACAAGTCCAGCTGGACTTGTCCTATGGTTGGGGTGCTTGGCTCTCCGGGGACCCCCACCCATAGGAGAAGTCCAGCTGGACTTGTCCTATGGGTGGCTTGGCTCTCCGGCAACCCCCACCCATAGGAGAAGTCCAGCTGGACTTGTCCTATGATTGGCTCTCCGGCGACCCCCACCCATAGGAGAAGTCCAGCTGGACTTGTCCTATGGGTGGGGTGCTTGGCTCTCCGGCGACCCCCACCCATAGGAGAAGTCCAGCTGGACTTGTCCTATGGGTGGGGTGCTTTTCGCTCAGCGCTAAAAGCAAGCGAAATTTCTCCTATGGGGGGGGGGGGGGTCCCAGACCCCCCCCCATAGGAGAAGTCCCAGTGGACTTCTCCTATGGGGGGGGGGGGTCTGGGGACCCCCCCCCCCCATAGGGGATCGCCCTAAACATAAGGAATCAATATGTGAGGGCGATCACCTATGGGGGGGGGGGTCCCCAGACCCCCCCCCCATAGGACAAGTCAGCTGGACTTCTCCTATGGGTGGGGGGTCTGGGGACCCCCCCATAGGAAAAATTTCGCTTGCTTTTAGCGCTGAGCGAAAAGCACCCAACCCATAGGACAAACCCAGCTGGACTTCTCCTATGGGTGGGGGTGGGGGTCGCCGGAGAGCCAAGCACCCCACACATAGGACAAGTCCAGCTGGACTTCTCCTATGGGTGGGGGTCGCCGGAGAGCCAAGCACCCCACACATAGGACAAGTCCAGCTGGACTTCTCCTATGGGCGGGGGTCGCCGGAGAGCCAAGCAAACCACCCATAGGACAAGTCCAGCTGGACTTCTCCTATGGGTATGGGTGGGGGTCGCTGGAGAGCCAAGCGCCCCACCCATAGGACAAGTCCAGCTGGACTTCCCCCATGGGTGGGGGTCGCCGGAGAGCCAAGCACCCCACCCATAGGACAAGTCCAGCTGGACTTCTCCTATGGGTGGGGGTCCCCGGAGAGCCAAGCACCCCACCCATAGGACAAATCCAGCTGGACTTCTTCTATGGGTGGGGGTCGCCGGAGAGCCAAGCACTCCGCCCATAGGACAAGTCCAGCTGGGCTTCTCCTATGGGTGGGGGTCCCCGGAGAGCCACACACCCCGCCCACAGGACAAGTCCAGCTGGACTTCTCCTATGGGTGGGGGTCCCCGGAGAGCGAAGGCGACGACAACGATGACGATGTCGAGGTCGATGGCGGCGACGAGGACGACGACGACGACAGCCGCGACGACGACGAAGACGATGACGACGACGATAAAGACGACGACGGCGACGACGACGACGAGGGTGACGACGACGACGACGACGGCAGCGACGACGACTACGATTACGACGACGAGGGCGACGACGACGACGACGATAAAGACGACGACGAGGGCGACGACGACGACGACGACGGGGGCGACGACGACGACTGCTTCGATGGAGAAGACGACGAAGACGACGACGACGAAGGCGACAACAACGACGACGATGACGAAGACGACGGCGACGACGACGAAGACGACTACTACTGCGTCGACGAAGACGACAACGACGACGACGACGACGACGACGACGGGGGCGACGACGGCGACGAGGGCGACGACGACGACGAGGGCGACGACGACGACAAAGACGATAAAGACGACGATGAAGACGACGACGACGACGAGGGCGACGACGCCGACGACGACGACGACGACGAGGGCGACGACGACTGAGACGACGAAGGCATGCACGATCCTTGCGGTGTCCGGCGTCCAGCGTCCGGCGTACGGCGTCTGGCGTCCGGCGTCCGGTGTCCGGTGTCCTGTTTCCAATGTCCGGCGACCGGCGTCCAGCGTCCGGCGTCTGGCATCTGGCGTCCGGTGTCCGGTGTCTGGTGTATGGTGTCCGTTGTCCTGTGTCCGGAGTCTGGTGTTCGGTGCCCCTGTCCGGGCGCCTGGTGTCCGGTGTCCGGTGTCTGGCGTCAGTTGCAGAGCATGAGGCGGGGAGGAGCAGCAGCAGCAGGAGGATGAGGATGATGATGGTGATGAGGAGGAGGAGGGTACCAAAAATCATAATGAGGATGAGGACAAGCAGCAGGAGGACGAGGAGGAGGATGTTGAGGTGGAGGAGGGGGTTGAGGAGGATGAGGAGGATGGGGAGGAGGATAAGGAAGGGGTGGATAAGGAGGGAAATCAAGAGAATGAGGCTGAAGATGATGAGGAGGATGAGGAGACGGAGAAGGAGGAGGATATTGAGGAGGATGATGAGGATGATGAGGAAGAACTATATGATTACAATGACGATGATGAGCATGAGGACAAGCAGCAGGACAAGGATGCAGCAGCAGCAGCAGGATGAGGAGAATGAGGATGAGGAGGAGAAGTAAGGAGCAGCAGGAGGATGATGATGATGGCGATGATGAAAAAGAGGGGGAGGTAGAGAAAGAGGAGGAATATGGGGAGGAGGAACAGCAGAAGAATGAGGATTATGATAATGATGATGATGATGATGATGATGATGATGATGATGATGATGATGAGGGGGAATGGAGAGGATGAGGAGGAGGGGAAGGAGGATGAGGAGGAGGTGGACGGGGAGAAGGAGGAGGAGGAGGAGGAGGAAGAGTGGAAGATGATCAGGAGGATGAGGAGCAGCAGGAGCGGGCCCCAACGGGCGTGCCGGACCGGCGGGTGGACCGTAACGGACGGGTCGGGTCGGGCGGGCGGGACATTGAAGTAGGAAACATCATCGAGTTGGCACGCGCGTGTCCTAACGGGCGGATCGGGTCCGGCGGGCGGACCCTAACGGGCGGGCGGGTCGGTCTGGGCGGGACATTTAAATAGTGTTCAATCTGTCTTGCTGGACCTCTGCGAGGGCGACGAGGGAGACGAAAACGACGAGGGCGAGGACGACGACGACGACGACGATGAAGGCGACGACGACGACGACGACGATGAAGGCGACGACGACGACGAAGACCGCGACGACGACCCGTCCTCCTCCTCCTCCGCCTCCTTCTCCTCGTCTCCTCCTCCTCCCTCTTCCTCCTCCTCCTCCCCCACCTTCACAGTCATCAGAGCGTAATACTCGCTATGATCGTCAGCAGCGGCATCAACATCATCATAATCATCACCAGCATCGTCATCGTCATTATCATCACCATCATCACCATCACCATCATCACCATCATCACCATCATCATCATCACCATCATAACCATCATCACTACCATCACCATCATCACTACTACCACCACCACCATCATCATCACCATCATCACCACCGACATCCTTATCGTCATCATCATCATCGTCGTCATCATCATCATCATCATCATCATCATGGCATGGTCAACTTCATTGACAGCTTCGTCATCACCGTAATCATCATCACCGTCGTCGTCGTCTGCATCCATCGCACTCATTACCGTAGTCGCCATCAACACCAACATTAAACATCATCATCGACGTCCGGGGCCGGTGTCCAGAGTCCGGTGTCCGGTGTCTGGTGTCCAATGTGATGTGTCCGGTGTCCGGTGTCCAGTGTCCGGTGTCCGTTGTCCAGTGTCCGGTGCCCGATGCCCGGTGCCCGGTGTCCAGTGCCCGGTGTCGGGTGTCAAGTGTCCGGTGTCTGGTATCCGGTGTCCAGTGTCCAGCGCGCGAGAATGGTTCTATAGTACGACGACGACGACGGCGGCGGCGACGGCGGCGACGACGAAGACGACGGGGGCGACGACGACGACGACGACGGCGACGACGACGATGGCGACGATGCCGAGGCCCGGGCAGGTCACCGAGGTTGGTGACCTCGCGAGGCCCTTTGGAGGCCTGGGCGGGCCACCGAATGCCGAATACAGGACGGTGACCTTGCGAGGCCCGTTGGAGGCCCGAGGCCCGTTGAAGGCCACGGAAGGTCACCGAGGTCCGTGACCCTGCGAGGCTCGTTGGAACTCCTGGCAGGCCACCGCATGTCAAACACGGGCCGGTGACCTTGCGTGGCCCGCTGGAGGCCCGGGCAGGTCACCGAGGTCGGTGACCTCGCGAGGCCCGTTGAGGGCCCCGGGAGGTCACCGAGGTCGGTGATTTTGCGAGGCTCTTTGGAGCCCCTGGCAGGTCACTTAGTCTCAAACCCAGGCCGGTGGCCTTGCGAAGCCCGCTGAAAGCCCGAAGGTCTCCGAGGTGGGTGTCCTCATGGGGCCCGTTGAAGGCCCCGGCATGTCACTGAGACCTTGCAATGCTCTTTGGACCCCCCGGCATGTGACCGCATATCGAACACAGGCCAGTGACCTTGCGTGGCTCGCTGGAGGCGCCAGCAAGTCACCGAGGTCGGTGACCTCGCGAGGCCCGTTGAGGGCCCCGGGAGGTCGCCGACGTCGGTGACCTCGCAAGGCTTTTTGGAGGCCCTGGCAGGTCACCGATCACCGAGGTCGGTGACTTTGCGAGGCTCGCTGGCCCCTACAGTGGAAGCCATAGGCATCCTTGCAACTCTGGGCTGAGGATCATGTTAACGAAGCTTTTCTGGGGACTTTTCATATCGATCTGCCGCCTCGGATATCGATAGAACTGCTCCCTCGGGGGGTGGATGTAGAGATATCTGAGGCGGTCCTCCTGGGCAAACGTTTTTTTATCAGGCCTCGACGGCTCCTTATTTGCACTATCGAGCAGCTCGCCTCCCGTCGTTTAGCTTGAGAAGGGGGCGCGGCGGAATAATAATAGAAGGGTTGCGAAGCAGGCCAAAAGAGTAAACTGTGTCAGGTGGACCCTGCATTATTCCCCAACACGACGTCGCACGCGAGAGCAGAAATCAAAGAGCGAGGGTGGATGAGGAACGCGCGTTCTGGTCAGGGGAGGGAAAGGGTAGCGATGAGAGGCTAGGGGGAGGGAGGTCAGAGTCAGAGGAGGGGGGCGGAGAGGATGTAGCGTGGTAGCTGTTTTTGGCACAATGTCTCGGGCGGCCCTCGTCGAAGACATTCGACGTTTCATTACCAAACGGGGGCTGACCGCTGCCACCTCCATTTCATACAGAGATGCAGCGAATATGGTTGTCAGTTTGTCTGATTCCGACGGGATATCGCATAGATCAGTGAAGCGTCGCATCATTTCATATTGCGTCAGTCGAGGTGTTCCCAGGGCCAGCGACAGTTTCGACATACATATGTTTCGAGATGTGATGGGCAACGCCTTTGACACAAACATCACGGACCAAGACTTCAGCAAAATATTCGATCACTCTCAAGCACGACCCCCACGTCCAGCGATTCTCGATGATGACCACCACCAGCTCATACAATCAGAACAACCCAACGCTGACGAACGGCCTGACTTCTTGGAGCTTGTGGAACGGTACACCACCTGGGATCGCGATGAGCTCGTATCAACGCTGGCGCAGATGACGTCGCACATTTCGCAGAAGAACGATGTCATTCGGTCCCTGAGAAGAGCGAATGGCAGACTGGCCAGCAAACTCACCCGCACAACAAACCAGCTCGACGCTACGAGAGAGCAGCTTGACACCATCGTCCAGCAAATCAACGTCAGGGGTAGCAACAAGAGACGGGTGTCAGCATTTGGCGGATACAGTTTGGCAATCAGGAGGAACTACGGCCAAGTTAGTGAGATCAGTGCGCTGGCCATGCTGGCTGGCCCCGAGGTTCATGGAGCTCTCAAGGATCCTGGCGTCATCTCGAGGTTTCAGCACAAGGCTGCCTTGTGCGACAGAGTGCGGCTCAGGATTGAGCACCAGCGGCACGAATCGTCGATGGTGAATGGCGCAGACTTTGCAGTTTTGGTGTGCGAGTACAAAGGCGACGCAACCCACCAGAATGCCATCGAAAAGGAGTCCGTGCAGATGGGCACCGTCTCGACGATGGCATTTACGACCAGCCACATTGACAAAGCAACCGCTGACGACGGCAAGTTTTCGTTGGATCTGTTCGAAAAAAACGTCATCTACACCCGTGGGTTCTGCGACCTCGCTGTCGTCAATGACAAGTCGTCGCAAGGCAACTACGTCCGCACCATGAAGCAGTTTCTCTCCGTGGGGGCGAAGTCGCCTGCTGAGCGAGCAGCCGATCTTTCTGGAGGCTCAGCAGCAGCCGCGCCGCCCACTGCCCGACAATACTATATGTACTCGTTCGGTGCGGGGAATCGCTCTCATCGTCTCCGCACGCCCCCCCCCCTCTCTTGCCCCCGACCCCCCGCGTCAGCCCTTCGCCCCTCCGACTGCCATCGCAAGCGAGAGGACATGGGGGGATCGGGTGGCTGGAAGGGGGGCGGGGAGAAGGGGAGGGAAGCGGGCGACGACGATGGGGGCGCTTCCCTACAGGTCTCGACGCTGGCGGCGACAATCAGGGGATGATGAGGATGCTGCGCAACCTTGCTTCGCCCATCCCGACACTCTTCATACTCAAAACGTTCTGCTTGTTTCACCAATACCACCTCAGCGTCCTAAGCATGTTGAAAACGTTGGATGCATTCGAGTGGCCAGACGGACCAATGCAGGTGAAGTATTTTTCTGGCGTGTCTGCGGTTTCTGGCTTTTGGAGGTCGACTGGCATGCTGAGCAAGTTGCGGGACGTGGCCGTCGATCTCTTTGATGACGAGGTTGCGACTAACAACTTCTCGACCGTGCCCAGTCGATGCCTTCGGGGGCGATGGGGGTCTATGGATGACGTCGAGGCTTTCTTGATGGGCAGGCTTCCGCTAGTCCACGCCGTGCTCCGCAGGTGGATGGATGTGAATAAAAAGAAGGTCACCATCGCAGCAGTCGGCGGCGATGAAGACGCAGCCTACCAGGCGCACGCCAGGGCCATGATATCAAACGCATGCGCTATGTCGGGGGACCGTCGTTTCCAATTCATGGTGGCCGCTTCGCTCATTGCGAAGAATCCTCTGGTGGGATATTTCAATTGGGCCCAGAAGCGCATTCGGGAAACAAACAAGTATCAAGACGATGCCGTCGCGAATGGGCAGTCGTACTTCGGCCCGACGTTTGTGTCCGACCTTGTGCAGTTTAAGGCGAAGGAGGTCGCTGGTCAGATACGTGCGTTGATGGACCCTGCTGCGTTTCGCGCTACAGATCTATGGGGCGGCCCTCTTTCAGAACTCCCTCCTGCTGCTCTTCCACGGGCGAATCTCCTAATCATGGCGCTTACCTTGAAGGCGCAGGCCCAGTGGCACATGCGGTTCACAAAGATGTGCTCATCGTTTCCTTTGGCGGCCCTTGCGTTCTGCGAGAAGTCTGCAGACATTGATTGTCCACGTCGGAGGGAGGTGGCGTCCGCGTTGCTAGATACTGACGACTGTTGTCTGCAGGATGAGTTCTCAGACTTTGCAATAAAGTTCAAGGCAGCATTTCGCGCAGAGATCGGAGTGGCCAAGGAACTTGGCATATGCCACCATGCGTTGTACGGCTTCTGCTTGTCGCTGAGGGCTTCGATATCAGGGCACACTCAAGACATCGAGGGCTTCAACAACGTGATTCAATGCATGGCTAACCGAGCCCCAGCGATGAAAGCGTCCACGGCCAACGCTCGCATGATCATCAAGAGTAGGCAGTTCAGGTTGACCGTGGAGGATTGCTGCTATCTTGATGAGCAGGCACCCCGCTCATCCTTCTCCTTTCCTGCATCTTTCTCCTGGCTCATTCTCTTCTCTCGGCCCTCGCTCCGAGGCAACGGTGCTGGCCGACACGGCATGGCACCGAGAACGCCTTTGCCGCGCCGTGGTCCCAGTCGGTGGCGGCGGGTTGCCGTCAGAGAAGAAGCTCGTGGAGTCGTGCGCCCATGTGTTTCCAGTCGACAAGCTATACTGCGCGAGGGCTGCGCTGTCTGCTTACCATATCGTGGACGAGCTCCCCGATTTTGTCTACGATATCAGCGACAAGGCTGGGCACGTCATCACTGCTGGGTTTGTTGTGGCTTTTACGTATGGAACCAAAGTAACTGTTCGCAGGGGAGTGTGCTCCGACGACGGGGCAGGCAATTTGATTTTCAAGTTGAACGAAGGATGGCCAGACCCAATCCCGCTGCTCGATTATTGCTATAGCATCGACTTCCTCCGCACATACAAGGATCACCCAAAGAAGCCTGTCTACTTGGTCTGGAGTTCGCTTTCGTGGTCCAACGGCGTGGCGACTGTGAGCTCTGAGAACAGCGGGCACCAACGGCTCACGATGGCTCTCAAGACGGCCAAGGCTGCGCCCGCGGGCGCTGGCGCGGCCGCGCCAGCACCGGCACCAGCCGCGCCAGCTGACGAAGCTCCCGCCCATGACCTCGAGGGCATAGAGGGCGACGGCGACGTCGGCCACGATCTCGCGACGCTGATGGACGAGAACGCGGGTCTCTACGAGGATGTCGACACCGCGGACGTTTTCGACGACGACGGCGGCGCAACAGCATCGCCAGACGACGTGATCCTCACGGCCGACGGCCTCGGCGTCGCAGGCCCTGAACCGCCCGACTGCACAGGCAGCGGCAGCGGCGGCGACGGCGGCACCCCTGGCCCTGACATCCCGCTCGTAGCCAGCAGCCCCGAGACGCGGGCGGCTGCATTGGCAGCTGTCGCGTCGACGCGGGAAGCGATGCGAGCGCGAGTTGTGGAGGCCTTCGACAAATCGAGGGAGCCCGACCATTTGAGGCCGCCCAGGAAAGGCGGGATGTCATTAGTCGAAACTAGCGATCGCAACGTTCAATCACGACGCCTAGCGGCGACACCCGCCTTCGGCAGATCTACGGCCCAAGAGGGTCAATTCTTGGGGGGTGGGGGGAGTGGCTGTTGGATGGTTCCCACGCACCCCGATGCACTCAGTGGTTGCCTCTTCTGGGAAGGGCCAATGTTCTCGAGGCGCTATGGGGATCGATCGGAGAACTGTCGGGGCTGTCGCTTTCCCTAGCTTCGGAAGGGCATGGCACGACCCAGCAGCTAAGGCCCAGCCACGTGGCCACTATTGGCTGGCGGATATGTGTATTGGGAGAACCCTGATTCGAAGATGGGTAGGACTCTGACTTTATGGCCACGGGGCCACATCAAAGCACTCATTTACAAAAATAACCCTAGCCGTTCGTTTCGAGATGCAAGGGTGATTGTGGCGAACATTCCTGCTGTGTACCTTAAGCGCAAGAGAACGGAGGATGCAGAGATGATGCCAGCCTGGGTTAGATTACTCGGGTCGGCAGAGAATGCCAAGTTGTACGCTGGACCGCAGGGTGCAACGAGTGAGGCATGCGTTTGCTTGCTGTGCTCAAGCCTGCAGGAGCACGCCATAGGCGTGGCACCCCTTCCCGCAAGTGAGGACGTGTTCATGTGTTTCCGCTGCACGTCATGTTGGCACGCGCGTTGCGCACATTTTGTGCATGTTGCTGCGGGCGTCCCTTCGGGATTCGCAAGGCCAGCTTTCGCAGCAGAGTCGTGGGCATGCCCTCTGTGTTGCGCAGGCGATGCATAGCGCCAACTTGTTTCTCTCGCGCCAGGCGCGTGGCAGCCTGGGCAGCCTTGAGCAATCGAGCATGAGCCAATGTTGCGACAGAGCGGGGGAGTAGACGAAGCAATCAAGTCCTGACCAGTCTAGCCTCTCCTCTCCCCGTCTGGAGGGGGTAGGCTGGGAGAGCGAAGTGGGCTGGTGGAGGTGGGAACCTTTCTCGCTGTCCAGAATCCACCTCCACGTCCATCTCCATCTCCTCCTGCTCGTCCTCCTCCTCGTCTCCTCTCCGTCACCCTATACCCTATCCTCCTACTCCTCCTCCTCCTATCGCTATCGCTATCGCTATCGGCTCGATGTCCAGTCGGACGCAGCCGTCCGCGCGGCCGGAGCTACGCGCGCGCGCCCTAGGCGCGTGGGGGGCAAAGTTGAACCCTATGCCGGAGGCCAAGACAGCCCGCTGCACTTAAGGGGCCCTTAAGTGCAGCGGATCTCCTCCTCCTCCTCCTCCTCCTCCTCCTCCACCTCTACCGCTCTACATCGTTTTTCCTATTCTTGACGCTCGTTGGTCAATGCCATCGGGAGAACCACGTTGGTCAAAACCATCGGGAGAACCACGTTGGCCAAACCCATCGGGAGAACCACATTTGTCAAAATCATCGGGAGAACCACGTTGGTCAGAACCATCGGGAGAACCACGCTGGCCAAACCCATCGGGAAAACCACGTTGGTCATAACCATCGGGAGAACCACGTTGGCCAAACCCATCGGGAGAACCACGTTGGTAAAAACCATCGGGAGAACCACGTTGGTCAAAACCATCGGGAGAACCACGTTGGTCAAACCCATCGGGAGAACCACGTTGGTCAAAACCATCGTGAGAACCATGTTGGCCAAACCCATCGGGAGAACCACGTTGGTCAAACCCATCGGGAGGCATCAAATCGACGTGGCCCAGGCAACGAGACACCGTTTCCAGAGGCTGTCTTGTTTCGGGGCTGCCGAGTTTGCGTTGAAGAAAACGCCCCTTACTGACGTCCGTCGCAATTTTGGCTCATAGGCATTTTGGCTCGAGCGTGCGCTGGGCAAAAAAAAGTTAGCTATCGTGTCGCCTTCACTCCTCCACCGTGTTGGAGTAATTACTTTTTGAGACACTTCTGGGACCGTTGATGCTGTGTTAGGCCCTCTTGAGACTACCAGGCTCCCTGAGGCCTCACATGCACCCCGATCGATATGGAGGGGCCCCATATGCATCCCGATCGATATGGAGGGACCCATATATGCATCCCGATCGATATGGAAGGGCTCCATATGCACCCCGATCGATATGGAGAGCCTCATATGCATACCGATCGATATGGAGGGGCTCCATATGCATCCCGATCGATATGGAGGGCCTCATATGCACCCCGATCGATACGGAAGGGCTCCATATGCATCCCGATCGATATGGAGGGCCTCATATGCACCCCGATCGATATGGAAGGGCCTCATATGCATCCCGATCGATATGGAAGGGCCTCATATGCATCCCGATCGATATGGAGGGCCTCATATGCATCCCGATCGATACGGAAGGGCTCCATATGCATCCCGATCGATATGGAAGGGCCTCATATGCATCCCGATCGATATGGAAGTGCTCCATATGCATCCCAATCGATATGGAAGGGCCTCATATGCATCCCGATCGATATGGAAGGGCTCCATATGCATCCCGATCGATATGGAATGGCTCCATATGCATCCCGATCGATATGGAAAGGCTCCAGATGCATCCCGATCGATATGGAGGGGCTCCATATGCAGGGGGGGGGGAGAGGGAAGGAGGAGGAGGAGAAGGAGGAGGGGAATAATATTATGATGATGAAACAGATCGATATGAAACAAGGCCGGCTGCACTCAACATGCCTTGGTCATCGCAACTGCCTGCAACAGTAAATGGCGGAAGCTGGGTGCCGTCACCTTAACTCTCCGCAACCGTTTCAGCTCAAGCAATCTTTGTATCGCTCACGGTGATATTCAGTGGAATTGCAATCCATCAGCGAGCCAGTGTGATGTCGTCACCAGATGGGCAGTCTGCTGCAGTGGTGCCTTCAGCGGGTGTTGTTCAATCTGAAGAGTCCAGAGCAGCAGGCTATAACAAGGATCTCTTGGTCGCCCTTGCTATGAAGAGGTTCCCGAACATTTGGAATAACGATGCGTTCACAATTAGGGACATGTTTGGCACTGACTTGGACGTGGCCCAACTGAAGATAATATCGGATGCCCTCTACACAAAGGACCCGAAGAAGACAGTGACGCTCATTCGGGAGGGAGTCTTCGCGGTGGATCGGGACCCCAGGAACGATCGTGGTGACGAGGGCTCCATCGACGATAGGGCAGCGTCTGTGTGGAAGCACGGCATCATGGAGGTTCGGGCGCCGCCTACTCTCATTGAGCCGCCAGAAGGAGATGACACCGCAGTGGGGGAGCGCTTCATGGCGCTGGACTGGGCCACCCTCATTGAAGGGGCTAAGCAATGCTATGCCCGCCCTGACTTCAACACGAACAAAATGTTGGTGGAGTCGCTCTCTAAGCCCATAATGGGCTGCAGGCTTCTCTTCAAGGACACGCCTGATGCGGTGTGCAAGTTTTACGTCGACTACAAGAACGAGGTCAACACCGAGGCGACGGCGACGACCTATTTACAGGTATGCAGGTCCACTCGCGATGTCGTGGCGCGCTACAAGGTGGAGAACCCTGGTGCGACTGTTGCTTCTGTGGGTGGCCAGAACAAGTACAACGTCGCTAGATTTAAGGTTGCCGAGAAGATCCACCCTGGTCGCTGGCCGAACCCCACGGCGCTGACCACTATGATCAGTTTCTTCGACGAGTCCAAGAAATACACGGTCGACGCGGCCGCGAAGGTCAGCGTGTGGGATGACTTCGTATCTTTCTCCCAGAAGCGCGTCGAATTCAAGCACCCTTTTGCCCAGCAGCATTCCGAAGTGTTCGGCGTAGTGAAGCTAGTTTTCTCGAGGCTCAAGCATGACCACCCCGACATGATCACGAGCGTGCTGGCATTCGGGTTGCCCCTCAAAAAACGCGCGGGGGCTTCCGCGATTTGTGAGGGCGTGGACCGCATCAAGATCACGGATGACATGATGCTGCGCTTGTTGTCGAAGGTGGGTGCCGCAAAGATTCTCCAGCAAGATAGCCCTGATACACCGCCAACTTCGAGCAGGGGTCGCGGCGAGAGCGGGGGCAGAGGCAGGGCCCGTGGCCGCAGCAGCAGGGGCAGGGGGCGATCGGCATCAATTTCAGCTGGTATCAGTGCTGTCCAACAGCAGCAAGCAGTTCCCGACATGGGCGCGCCCAGCTTCCAGTTCGACGCCGACGAGGCCGACTGCGACGCGCTTGACCATTGGAAGCACACCGTTGACAGATTGGTGAGTATCGACAGCCGCCAGGAGGACGGCATCCGCAGCATGATGTCCATCGGCCTTTACATGATCATGGCCAACACGACGTCAGTCGAGCTCCTAGTTGATGGAAAGGTCAAGAAGGTTAAATGTTGGACTGAGCTTGTTCGATTGGCCAAACTCCACGTATACAAGATGGCCAAGTTGGCACCTCGCGTGTCAGACCCAGACTTGGTCGATGGCGGCGACGCGGTGGACGGCAACAAGGCGATCGCCGACCGCGGGTGGGACATGGACCGCGCGTCTGAGTTCTTCGAGGCGGAGTCGGGCACTGCGTCCAAGATCGTTGAGTTCCTCGCGGCGAACATGGACGCGGTGCCCATTTCGGCCAGGCGCGTCGTCGCCCCCTCCCACCTTCTCCTCTCCTCTGGGGCCCTCCTCCACCCCCTTCCCTTGCCCTCTCGCGGCCGTCGTTTGTTGGGGTACTTTTTCTACCAGGCTCGTTGGTGCAATTCCCGAAATCGCACCAACGAGCCTGGTAGAAAAAAAACTGCGTTTACAGGCCCGAACGCGCGGCTGTCCGAGGGGGCCCGCGGAGGGCTGACCAGGCAAGCATCGTTCCTCTCCCACCCTTCTCTTCAAGGCCGATCATCGGGCAGAGCGTGGGTGCGATCGTCTGCGTCCAGGCTACAGGAACTGCTGGCGACCTGCCCACAAATCAGAAGGAGGCAACTGTGTATTTCATGACGGCCTCGGCCAAGTGTATCGAGGACGCTGTCCCTGATGCGTGGATTCGCGTGGCCGTCGTTTTCGGAGAGATCAAGACCGCCCTTGGAAGCAAGCTGATCATTCCGAGGAACAGCCCCTGGGAAAAAATGTCCGATGGAACTGAAGTCGCGTTGAAGTGCGTGAAGTTCGGCTCCCTCATGCACGTGGCGACGTGCATCGGGCACCAGTCGTGCATCATCTCGCCGCCGAGTGATAGCCGAGATGGCAAGCAACCTTTTCACGGCCCGCTGGTCCAGCCATGGGCCCAGAGGGCGTCGGGCGCCATCAGAGACTCCGTCGACACCAGCAAACTCGGCCACGCGATTGGGAGTGCAAGCTTTTCGCAGCTGCCAGGCCCGAAGGTGACCCTCGAGCTGTTCGCCGACGGCCGCTCTTTCGTTGACATCGCAAAAATGTTCGGGCAAGTCGTCCATTCGCTGTGCGACCACATCCAGCTTCACGACGCCAACGGCTACGAGGCCTCGAAGGCGGAGCTCTTGAAGTCATTGCACTCCGCGTCCCGAGATGAGGCCATCGCCATCGTGAAGGCGACGCGCGGCTTGGACAACATTGACCTCCCTGCCAACTTCATCACGTTCAGGAACGACTTCGTTCGCAAGGCCGAAAAGCTTTACGATGCCAGCCACCAGGAGATCATCTTGACTAGGGCACTGCTTGGACCTGAGTGCGGCGCTGTTGTGTTGGAGAAGTTGGCGGGCCACGTCGAGACGGAGAGGCAGCGGGCGGCGGCGGTTGCTGTCAAGGGCCCCGCCCATGCAGCCAGCGCAGCTGGCGGCGATGGCAAATGTCTGCCAGGAACACCCCCTCTTACGCTCAAAGCTTCGATGCTGAAAGCGATCGATACGGAACTCAAGGACGCCGACGTTGCCAAGAACATCGTGTGCGCGCACGCTCGGGAGATCATGGGGAAGCTGCAGGTCGCCATCAATGAGAACATGACGAGCATCCCTTACAAGGACGACATGTACGACAATATCAGCATCACCGTGGAGGAGAAGTCGACGAAGGGCGGTGCCATGGCAAGTGTCGCTTTCGAGAGCGCGCCACCTCAGAAGTCCAACTCGGAGGTGATGTATTACTGGGGCAGGGTGGTGGACGACAGGGATGTGAAGAATCTGAAGAAAGAGCTCGCGATGCCCCTCGGCAACGGGATCGTCGGCTCAAAGGGCACGCGCGGCCCCGAGCTCTACCTCGACGGCACGAAGTTCATGAACCACTTGAGGTCCGATTTCTGCTGCCCCTGGCTCATCGTTCCGACGGCACCTCCAAAGAACGTCACTCCGACCGCAAAAGACACGGACGACACCCTTGAGCGGAAGAGGGCAGCCGCTGCCGCGGCTGTGCCGTTGCCGACTCACGAGGTCAACTACAAGGAGATCCAGATCACTGCCAAGGACCATGCTGGCATCCAGCGCACGTACCACTACACCATTCCCTTCCTGAAGACGCTGGAAGACGTCACGCCCCTGATGAAATGCACCCGCAAGCGCATGGCCGACTGGGACGACTCGAAGTTCTCCAAGGCTCCGCGGAAGGATCCGCAGGTGCCCTTGAGCTTTCTAATGAAATAGGGCGTGCATGTTCATTGGGTTCAGTCTCGCCTCCAACCTCCAAGACGTCCCAGGCCCCCTCCAAGAGACCCCCAGGAAGCCCCAAGAGGCCCCCAGGAGGCTTCCAAGCGGCCCCTAAGAGCTTCCCAAGAGGCCCACAAATTACCCCCAAGAGGCCCCCAAGAACGCTCGTCGTCGTCGTCGTCGCCGCCATTCAGGGTCGGCGGCCCCGACCGTACGGCCTTCTCAATAGGGCGTGCATGTTCATTGGGTTCAGCCTCGCCTCCCTCCCACCTAGCAGCCCACCTTCGCCAATTGTTGGGGGCAAGTGTCGTCAGATCCCCAGCCATCCCCCCGATGCCATTAAGCGCACTCCTACTTCGAACGCCGAGGGTTGCGTTTCTCAGGGGCCTGACGCTAGGGCCCAGGGGTTGCCAATGCGTTCCAGTGCCCACGCTACTCCGAGTGCCTTTTCTGCTTCGTGTCAGCTTCATGTGGACGACGGGCAACGCCTTCTCCAGAATCAGTTCGATTCATAATTATTATTTTTTAGCTTGCAGCGCAGTGGCATAGTGGAGGGAGGGGGGCGTTCACATCATATGTGGCGTCGCATGGGGCATGGCGCGCCCCCCCCCCCCCGCCACACACCCAATCGAGAAGCCCGCGGCGGGTGCCGCCCTATCTTGACCTCGGTTGCCGCTCACTCCGCTGCTCGGCGCGCACGGAAGAAATGTCGAGCCACCGCCAGTTGACCCGCTCAGTTCCGACAGTGGCGCAGGGAGGGGGTCAAGTCGAGGAGTTGAAACCTCGTTATCGTTGACAGTGGGCCCGCAAGTAGGCCTTGGCCCCTGGGTCAGTGCATGCTTGAGCCGTTTCCCGAGTCAGCACATGCTTGAGCAAGGGCGTTTGAAGGGGCGAGGTGGGTGAGGGAGGAGGGAGGAGGCATGATAGAGGGATGAGGGAGAAGGTTCGTTTGCGGTAAACGGTGGACGGCCACTGCTCCGAATGCATAGCTTGAGTAGGCAACTATTGGGAGATGATGGAGGACGAGGGGGATGGATGCGAAGGATGAGGAGAAGGATGACGGAAGAGGAGGAATGCGGAGGAGGAGGAGACGGAAGGGAGGGGCGGGAAGGCAGGGTAACAGGATCAGCGCATAGGAGTGGGAGGAGGGCGAAGGGAGGCAGGGATGAGAGAGGCAGAGGAAGATGATGAGGAGGAGAGAGCGGAGAAGAATTGCGAGGAGGAGGAGGAGGATGAGGAGGACGAGGAGGAGGAGGGAGGAGGACGAGAGAATGGCTGAACAAACCAGCCACGTCGCCTCTCCCTGCCGTCCTCCCGCTTGTGCTGAGGCTGTTTCTGAGGCCACTCGAGGATATGGGGCGCGGGGTTTGTTCTTCGAGGCCAAGGGGGGAGCGGGGGGGTCCTTCACCCCGCCACCCTCGGGCCGCGGCGACTGTAGGTGGGAGGAGGAGGGAACGGAAGAGGGAGGGAGAGGAGGAGGAGTAGGAGGAGGAGGAGGGAAGATGAGGAGGAGGAGGGAAAAGGGAAGACGGGATGCTGAGGAGGAAACGGGAGGAACAGGAGGTGGGAGGCTAGAGGAGGAAGAATGAAACATACGAAGAGAAGGAGGCTCGATCACCAAGTAATATCACGCTTGCGACGGCTGAACTTACGTCGTTGCGGCACTCAGAAAAGCTGATATTTGTTGATTCGGAGCCCCCCGCAGGTTAATTTATAGGAGCGGCACCGCCGCCATACATCGTTATTGTGGCCCCCGAGAGAGCAGTTCTATCGATATCAGAGGCGGCAGATCGATATGAAAAATCCCCAAAAAACAAAGGTAAACATGATCCTCACTCTGGGCTAAGAGATGTCGTGACCTGAGCAGGTCCAGTCCAAATCGCCTTAGACATCCTCGCAAGTCTGGGCTCAGACATGCCGCGCGCGAGGTGAACCAGACAATTTTGCCTCAGACATTCTCGCGACTCTGGCCTCAGAGATGCCTGAACCTGAGGTGACCTGGTCAGTTTCGCCTGAGACATCTCCGCCGCAAATTTGAGCTCCCAGATGCCATGCGCCAGGTGGTCTGGCCAGTTCCGCCTGAGATATCTTCGCAACTCTGGGCTTAGATGCCGTGCGCGAGATGGTGCGGCCGGGCTCGCGTGAGCATCCTCGCAACACTGGGCTCAGATACGCACTGACTTGATGTGGTACAGCCCGTTTCGACTGAGATATCCTCGCAACTCTGGGCTCAGAGATGCCTTTCGCGAGGTGGTCTGGCCCATTTTGCCTGAGACACCCTTGCAGTTCTGGGTTAAGACTCAGACATGCCGCGCACGAAACGGTCCGGACATTCTCGCCCGAGACATCATCGCAGCTCTGGGATTGGAGATGCTCTGACCTGATTTGGTCCGGCCCGATTCGCTTGAAACATTTCCGCAACTCCAAACTCAGATATGCCCTGACTTGAGGTGGTCCGGCCCAGTTCGCTTGGGACATTCTCGCAACTCTGGTCTCCGAGATGCCAGGCGCGAGGTGGTCCAGCCAGTTTCGCCTGAGGTATCCTCGCAACTCTGGGCTCCTAGATGTCGCGCGCAGGGTGGTTTAACCATTTTCGCCTCCGACATCCTCGGAATTCTGGGTTCCTCCATGCCGCGCGCGAAAGTCTGGCCAACTTTCCCCGAGACATCCTCGCAATTCTGGGCTCAGAGATGCTCTGACCTGAGGTGGTCTGGCCCTTTCCGCCCGAGACATCTTCGCAACTATGGGCTCAGGCATGCCGCGCGCGAGGTTGGCCGGCGCGCTTCGCCTGAGGCATCCTCGCAACTCCAGCCTCAGAGACGCTGCGCGCGAGGTGGTCTGGCCAGGTTCAAGGATGCCCTGAATTGAGGTAGCCCGGCCAGTTTCGCCTGAGACCTTTTCGCAACGCTGGGCTCCGAGATGTGGCGCGCTAGGTGGCCCAACCCGTTCGCCTGAGACATCCTCGCAAAAAGGCTCCCGGACGTGCCAGGACCACACGACTAGTTATCGAGTCGTCCTCCAGGAGGGGTTCAACCGCCCTTGGCCCGAGGGGGCAGTTAACCGGTGCCGAGGCGAGAGCCGGATTTCTGATTCATGTGGAAGGACGTCTCAGGCGGGAGCACCAGGCCAGAATATATATGTTGAGGAAATCTCCGGCGAAAGGAGAAATATGAAGGCAAGAAGGATAACTTTGAGTACGAGGAGGGGCGAGGAGAACCCGGATGAGGAAGAGCATCAGGAGCACGATGATGAGAAGGATGATAAAGAGGAGGAGGAGGAGGAGGAGGAAGAAAGTAACCGCGAGAAGTAGGAGGAACGGCATGAGGATGCGGAGGAGAAGGGGGGACGATGAGGTTGCGTAGGAGGGTGGACGGCGAGAAACACGATGAGGACGGCGACATAAACAACGACGACGACATTGATAACAACAAGGGCGCACGCAAATCAGGAACAGGATGACGGTGACTCGGAGGACGAGAACAAGTTTTGAAGCCACATTAAATCTAGAGTCGCTGATGGGGATGCTGGACCCTGGCCATAATAGATTCCTCCTTCGTCGCTGCTCCGCGTCATCCTTCTGCTGCTGCTGCCCCTCGTATCCCCCGTCCCTCCGCTGCTCCTCCACGTCCTGCTCTTTTCTCACGTCTCGCCCGCCGCCCCCCCCCCCCACCCCACACACACACACACTTCTCGCTCCTCACTTTCCACGCTTGTCCAAGGATGAATTAGAGAGGATCAGATGGGCCGCAGATGCGCAGAGTATCAGAAGGCAGAGGAATATACAGCGGAAGATGAATATGAATAATATGATTGCCGTGACGAGGTGGATCGCAACGATGGCGGCGACCCGCCGACCATGACGACTGCAATATATCACAACGGTATCGGCGCTTAAGGTGACGACAACAACGGTTGCAATGATTCGTCATGAAGTTGATTGCGAGTGAATTTGATGATGTGCACGGTGGTGATGACGATGACCACGATGATGATAAGGGCGATGATGATGATGACGATGATGGCGATGATAATGATGATAACGTCGACGACAACGATGAGGGTCCTGATGACGACGACGGCGACGACTACGACGAAGACGAATCGGATGAACGGGCGGCCGCCCGCCGCGGCAGAAGCGGACGGCCGGCCGAGGCCGCGGCAAACGCCCAAGAGATCTACGCGGCGGCCTCTGCTGAGAGAAAGTCTGCGCTGCAGGGCTCTTCTCAGCAGGGGCACCCGGGTGCCTCTGCTGAGAAGGCGCGGGCCTGATCCCGGGATCGCCCGCTGGGCGTGATGAGACGACGCCCTCCAAGTAGAGCTTGTTTCATCAGGGCCAGACGACGATCCCAGGGTCAGACCCACGCCCTCTCAGCAGAGGCACCCGCGTGCCTCGGTGGGAAGACCCCTACAGCGCAAACCTCATCTCAGCAGACGCCGCCGCGTAGATCCTAGACGTTCGCCGCGCCACGTGCTCTCAGCAGGGCCGCTGGGTTGGCCTTGCCGAGAACGCGTAGAATGCGGCAAACGCCTAAGACCCCAGGGGCAGGGGGCTCGATCGGAAGCGAAAAGCTGTTGGTGTTGGCTGTATCTTCTGTTGAAATACCGATGCCGATCATGGCTTGGTACCGGTACCTGTACCGGCATCGGTACTGGTATCGATAGCGATACTGGTACCGACAGGCGCAGAACCGTTCTTAGCATCAACGTTCGCACAGTCCAAGGGGGCCCTGCTAGAGTCTGGAGAGATGGGGCTGCAAGGAGGAGCAGGAGGAGTATGGGGGGAGATGGAGGAGGCAGCAGCAGAAAGAGGACCAGGACAAGGATGGTGACGAGGCGGAGAAGCATCACCAACATACCGATTTCGATTTATAGGCTCAGTCCAGCATCCCCGACAGCGATTTTGAGCCAGGGTGGCTCCAAACATTGTTTGCGCGTCCACCGAATCATCGTCCTCCCGCCCCTGATTTGCCTGCGCCCTTGTCATCATCACAGTCGTCGTCATTGCTGGCATCGTCCTCTTTGCCATGCTTCTTGCCCTTTCCCCCTTCCCAAACCTCCTTCTCCTCCCCCTCCTTTTCCTCCCCCCGTCATCCCGTTCCTCTTTCTCCTCGTTTTTCTTCTTCCTCGTCCTTTTATTTTCCTCGTTATCACCATCGTGTTCCTGATGTTATTCCTCCTGGTTCTTCTCGCCCCACCTCGTTCTCCTGGTTCTCCTCCTCGCCCTCGAAGTTCTCCTCTCGCTGGAGATTTCAACGTGTACCAGGGCGTGTCCGAAATTCATGTTCTCGCCTCGGCGCCGGCTAACTGCCCCCTCGGGGCAGGGGCGCCTGGACCCCTCCTGGGGCACAACTCGATATTAGCAGTGTAGTGTAACAGGAAGCTTGGGCCTGGCCCCATCGGAGCCCAGTTGTGAGGATGTCTCAGGCAAAACTGACTGGACTACCTCGTGCGCGGCATCTCGGAGCCCTGAGTTGCGAGGAGGTCTCAGGCGAAATTGGCCCGACCATCTCTGGCGCGGCATTTTGGAGCCCAGAGTTGCGAGGATGGATCAGGCAAATCTGGCCGGAGTACCTCGAGCGCATCATCTCTGTGCCCGGAGTTGCGGGGATGCATCAGGCCATATTGGCCAAGCGACCTCGGGCGCAGCATGTCTGAGCCCAGAGTTGCGAAGATGTCTCAGGCGAAAATGGGCCAGATCACCTCAAGTCAGGAGCATCTCTGAGCCCAGAATTGCGAGGATGTCTCAGGCGAACTGGACCGGACAACCTCACGCGTCGCAATTTCGAGCCCAGAGTTGTGAGGATGTCTCTGGCGACATGGGCCAGATCACTTCAGGCCACAACAGTTCAGAGACCAAAGTTGCGAGGATGTCTCAGGCGAAACGGGCCCGACCACCTCGCACGCGGCATTTCTGAGCCTGGAGTTGCGAGGATGTCCCAGGCGAAACAGGCTGGACCACCTTATGTCAGAGTATCCCTGAGCCCGCGCGCGACTTCTTGGAGCCCAGAGTTGCGAAGATGTCGCAGGCAAAATTAGCCGGACCGCTTCGCACGCGGCATCTCGGAGCCCAGAGTTGCGAGGAGGTCTGAGGCGAGTTTGACTGGGCCACCTCGCGCCTGGCATCTCGGATCTCGGAGGTGCGTGAATGCCCCGGGCGAATGGGGCCAGACCGCCTCAGGTCAGGGCATATCTGAGCCCAGAGTTGCGAGGATGTCACAGGCGAATCGTGCCGGACCAACTCAGTCAGAGCATTTCCGATCCCAGAGTTTCGATGATGCCTCTGGCCAAACGGGCCCGACCACCTCGCACGCGGCATTTCTGTGCCTGGAGTTGCGAGGATGTCCCAGGCGAAACAGGCTGGACCACCTTATG